TGGGGATGAGAGGGAGGAGGAGGAGGAGGAGGAGCGTGATGAGGTTGGAAAGGTGTACGTGCGTCAACTAAACCTGATTGTTTATTCGGCTCAATTACAGATTTCAGACATTATAGTTCCAATCCCAAGGGAAGAAACTATAGAATTAGTTAAAGTCGCTTGAGTCGGTATTTGAGTTATGTCGAAAAGCTCCGGTTACGTTCCTCAATTGGCTCACATACCATAATACTTTGTTCATGTGACCACCTGATGCCTGGTGTTCACTGTAAGATTCGTCTGACACTTGTACGCGTGGGCTGGCTTTCGGAACATGCTCAGGCCTAATTACTTTGGTCTCCTTGGAATACACGTAATCAGCTCCACTTAATGCCTTCTTCCACCCATCCGGAAGTCTCACGAAGCTGCACATACATATTTTATGGAAGCATTATGCCTCCTTTTGACTACAAAGTCTCGATGCGTTAAAGTAACAGTAACGACCAAATAACGATGTACTTATTATAGCAATGACAATGGCAAACATAATTGTAGCTGCCTCTTTGAATTCACCACTCCAATTTTAGGACCTCACAGCTTTCCAACAGGCTCCTGAACCTCTGGCTTCATAAGCGGGCTGTTTAAAGGCCTAATAGGAACCCTTTTCAGAATGGAAGGGGGTATTTGTGTGGGTAAGACAGCGACACGGCATTACTCCGTGGAGGGATCTTTGCCCTCTCCAAGCGCGAGATTCGTACTAGAAATTATGTTCCACCTCTCTCCTATAAAGGCAGTTCAAACAATGAATATATACACTACACCTATAGTGCATTCGCAGGGCCACTTATTATTTACGCCGTTTAATCGAGGCATTGTGTGGGCAGTTAACTTAATCCTCCATTTGTTAATTAAGTACATGCAATTTGTAATTTTTGACTGGGTTTCAAAGTCATACATGATCGGTGATACAATTGTTATGCATTCTGATTGTTTAAATGATCTCTTATCAGGGAGGGTGCGAGTCCGTTTAGGCGTTGTACTAGAGGTGTTAGGGCGCGCCTTGCGATGACTGTAAGCGCGGCTTTACCCGTTTTTGTTTCTCCCTTTGGTCCGTTTTTTCCCAGTTATTTTTAATAAACTGTCCTAGAGTAAGTCTGCAAGATCTGAGGACATGGATTTAGCAAGTAGGGCGGGAATGTTAAAATAGTTTTCAGCAGGGTCAATTTCTCCATTCACGTTATGGACTCTTAATAGTTTCAGTGCTTATTGCCATCAGGCTTTTATTTTCCCCTTGAAATGCTGTTCTATGGAATGGAGGATTGTTTTTTGACGCGATTTGTGGGAGCTGTTTTGTTAACCTCTTGGCGCTTACTCATGTCTTGATCTTCCTTCTGGTGTGTTTTATCGCTCTTTTATGTTGCTGACTTTATTTTTTTAATCGCTCTAATATTCAGGTTTGCGTAAAACCTGCTTTTAAACCATTGGAGTACAGTGAACTGCAAATCACAGCGTTTTTTGTTCTGTCTAGTGTTTTTACTGGCTGCAAATTTTATGCTTATTTACGTGCTTTTTGTCTATAAAACCTTTTGATGCATGTTTCTACCATCTTTGAACGAAAAATTGCTTTATTCGTCTAGTCTCTGCTTTTCACTTAGTTGTTTTATCTGTATTAGATAATATGCTGCCTTATTGCAACGTCTTTCGATTGTAAATATTGGTGCAATGAACTCTGCATTCATTCTTGCTTTGTTAGTCCCTGACCTCGTTTTAGAATCCTGATGTGGATGCTAAACCTTCCGTTCATGTTCTGGTACTGGGTGATGTCACAAGATCTCCTCGGATAAAAAATCATGCGAACTCTTTTGCTAGGGAGGGGTGGCGGGTTAAATTTGCTGGCTACCGGGGTTTGCAGCCAACTGCGGACAATGACCTTACGTGCTACTACCTCTCTCAAGTACCTATATTTGTGGACGACTACCTTCCGCGATTTATTTCTCTTTTCTTTAAGGTACATAAATTTTTCTTCTTGGTCGATCTAAAACAGATCTAGATCATTTTCCTATCGATTTCCCTCTTCGTTTACTTGGTCCTGCACATGCGAGAGGACTTGCTATTTGTTCAGTCCCCTCCTGCGGTACCCACTCTTCTGATTGTATACTTTTTTGCATTGCTGAAGCGGTGTCCAGTTTGCATTGATTGGCACAACTATGGCTACACAATATTGGAAGCTCCACGTGGCCGGAGAAATATTGCTTCAAGGCATTGCATGCCACTTTATTGTAACCTGTCTGCCTTAGTATGTATAAGCTCATGGAATTGACATTCGCGTCTTGGTTTCTCAACTCGAATACTTTTGTGAAGACCCGCCATTTTGCAGTTTCCAAAGCTCTTCAGAAAAATTTACGTGAACAAACAGGGATTGACGCGATAGTTGTTTATGATAGACCGACCAAGGATTTTAAACCCACTACGGTTGAAGACGCACACCGACTGTTTTGCCGGTTAGTTTTTATCCTGACCGTTTAAAGGTATTATTCAAGGACTTGCCGATTTGCGACATTGGTAGACTTCCTTTAGGGTCGACGCTTAGCTAATTCATCTCTATGTCAGCCGCTTTGGTACAAGTTCTAATGCTTTTCTAAAAGGCCTTTTCGATGTTTCTTTTTTCCACCGAAAAACAGTTCAATTCGTAGTCCTAAAGGTGAATTTTTAGGTTAAATTTGGCTCATTCACCCCTCACGCGCTTTTGCTGACATTGCTCGGTGCCAAGTACGACTTGATCATCCGTTTCAGTCTCTCCTACGATTATCCGCAGCTAAGAGGTCCAGAAGGATCTACTCAAAGCACGGCTTTTACGGAGGTTGTCGATCCATCTTCCGGTACCTGTGGGTGGCGTGTTGATCGACCGGCTCTTCTCATTAGCAGCTGTTCATGGACTCCCGATGACGACTTTGCCATCATGTTGGAGGCTTTGGACAGCTATAATGCTACTGTCACCTCCTCCCCTAATATCTCCTTTCATAAGCTCATTTATATCGTTACTGGTGAGTGAGGTCTGCATAGGTCATATGTCCTAGCTCATTGCGTTTTTGGCCGAGCCGATGTAGCATGGGTAATATCGCTCCTCTGTAATTCCCCTATATCTGTTCCTTTTCACGATCGAATTGTGATGTTTTTACAGAATACGAAAATGGTAGATTGCCTTTCAAATCCACTACTATACCCTATGAATTATCATCGTAATTTTCAGAGGCATCTGCCACATATGAGCATTAACAACCACATGTTCTCTCTTAGGCCGCGGACCGTTGAAGTCGCATTTTCAAGCAATAATAAAAGAACGCAAGTGGGAACACGTGGAGGTTTTGACCCCTTGGCTTGAATGGTCCGACTATCTGCTACTTCTGGGGGCTGCCGACTTGGGTGTTAGTCTACATCACAGTACCTCTAATCTCGATCTTCCCATGAAGGTGGGTGTGTCGCCTGCATTCAAAATTTATGCATCTACAGGCAAGTGTAGCAAGACATAATCTTATCATGTTCGGTGAAACGGAGTTTACTTCGTCAGATATCCTATCCCATTCTTTTGGCTCTAAATACCGGTTCTTTGCAAACAGATCGTGGACTTGATAGGCGCCGAGGTACCAGTTCTTGCGCTAGCTTATCCAGCTCTCTCGGAACTACTTCCAAACGGTCAGTTGGGGTATCACTTTTCCACGTCAGCAGCTCTAACCGACCACTTGACTCGCCTTCTGATGCCGAAGGAGGACTTTGAGGGTGTTGGCGATGCTCCCGACCTAATCCGCTGCCGTCGTAACCTGCATGAGCTCAAACAATTCCCGAACATGGACTGGCACACTCACTGGCTTAGCACCGTCCTACCCGTCTGTGAGAAACTGCTGGCAAAAAGCTAAAATTGGCATATCTCTGTTACTCATTATTTGCATACCTTTTGATTAAAAATACAAGCTAGACCTATTCTCAAATTTTGATCTATATGTCCCTTGGTACCAAGGGGTAATCAAACTCGAGAGTACGAACAAAGTATACATTTAAGGACAATACAAATTCAAGAATAGCGAACATTTGGAAAGAGTACAGAGAGATATCATTACATTGTTCTGATTTGCAAGTCGTGCCAGTTTTAAAAAACGGAGGACGGTATCCCGACGCTACTTGACCACTGAATAAGCTGCCACTGGTTGCTGAAAGGAATATAAGTCGGGATTGATGCCACAAATCCAAATATATTCAACACAAAGTTGCCGCAGCCAAGAGGTGAGAGCACCTTTGCACCATGAGAGAACTAGGATGTGGCTCATCTTCCAAGTAAGATGTGAGAGAGACCAAAAGTTTCGGTTATACTTTACAACTTTTGCTTGATAGGCCAGCCCAAATTCGGATTTTCGAAGGCTTAACAGTCCATTTTTTGTATCAAAAATAAGGCCAATGTGCGAGTGAACAGGATGCCTATCACCATTTCTGAACCTTTAGTGCATTGAAAGAGAATGACAGAATTTTGACTCGAAAATGGCAAAGCAAAGTGAGCTCACCATCTGAAATTGGAAGTTGTCGTAAATGGCGGCTAACTCCTGCATATAATACTCGGAGAGGACGCTGAATGAGCGTAGACTGGGATCACAGCGGCGTGCACATGCAAAACACCGTACCTCCGTTTTTTTCTCCTGCGTTGTCACAAAGAGCAGATTAAAGACCTCGATCTGAAAGTCAAGACCCAAGTGAATACTTTCACACCTTGGATGTACATACCGTGTAATTAGGCGAATAACCAAGGTCGAATACACAAAAAAGAATACGACCAAGTATGAAATTTAGTGGGGTTGTCTTTCAATTTTCATTGGAAACGTGATTTGGGAAGTTTACAGTCACTTGCATTAGCACATTCACTCTGTGCTCTTTTAATCCACTATTCTTCCAAGTCTCTACCAAAAACAGGTAAAAGTGGAACATGTCTGGGAAATTACACTATGAAGTTAATGTTGCAGCTGTTTGAAGCTCTGGAATACGAAGCTACTTCAAGCTAGGTCTCTGTGCTTATAACTGTGCTACACATTCTACTTGCATTTTAGAATAAATCGTTGAATTTTCAGCTGTCTTATACTTTTACTTCCAACGATGGAGTCGAAACGATTTAAGATCTCGAATGCTCAAATCGTGCAACAATTGCGTGTGCCAATTACCTCACAGTCTTGACAGGAATGTGCGATGTCGTCTGGCTTCTTGCCATGTCGTTTGACCTGAATCTCAAGCTGGTCCAAGAAGTCTAAAATCAATTGCGAATCCACCATGGTACGAAGAAGGGTGTGCCTACAAAGTAGTAAGACGTCCACCGTCTAACAAAATTTTATTGGTCAATCAGATAGCACATTGTAAACCCAGTGGAAGAAACAAAACGTGCTTCCATTAGAAGTGTTTCCAAGACCAATGTAAGTAGACGGTAAGAGAATCTCACACCAGTGCAAAAACATAAAAGTACTTCTTAAAAACTGTAAAATAAAGTGCGCTGAGATTCACCGTATGAGCTCGTAGAGCTGCACATCTCCCACGCGGATATTTTTGGCTAATTGCCAGGATAGATGAATCATGGGGACCGGAGACTTTACATTCCTCAGACGGTTGTATTCGAACCTCTCGATAGCCAGTTGGTACTGTTGGGCTGTCAGAGGGGCGATGTTCCATGCAATGTTATTGCACCAGCCCAGGGTATGGACCCAATAAACCGTTCCAGAATTCAGCCAGACGAGGTCACCAGGCTTCTGTACGAATCGGTAAAGTGGAACACCCTCCTGTCGTAACTCCTCTACATCCGGCCACCAAGTTCCCGTAAGGAAATCTAGGCCCTGACGCTCTGTCAGTTGATGTAACACGCCCCAGTACTGCTCAGGAACCGCAAACCACTCGCATTCGCCTGGACCCACGTTGATGTTTACAGCGCAGGTATTGTTGCACTCCTGGTGGCCCAACGTCCTCGAGCCAGGGATCTAACGACGCAGGAAAAGGCGCCGCGTTGAAGTGACTTAGTCAAAATCATTTTGAAACTACGAATGTACGAAAATATTTCGTCCAAACAATTATTTTTTCAAAAAGGTACTTGCTTAAATAGGCACCCCAAAAACAAAACCTTACAAGTTACAAAGCATTAAGGAGGGACAAAAATTGCATCCAAGCATTGATCCAACAGCTAATTCGTAGCCTGCTAGTCATTAATTTCCACAATTTTTTCGACTTAATAGATGGGTTCATTATTAAGCCACTAAGTAAAGTGAACCTATAGATCACAATCGAGGAAAATGAAGAGATGATGGGATTCGCGTTAACGCATTGAATGTTTGTTGAGGCGGAATCTGTAACTCTTGGACGGCTGTTATAGATATAAAGTATGGTAAGACTTTTCCCTTAGTTTCTCGTCATAAGCACAGAAAGAGACCAAAAACTCGCCTTCATATAAAGTTGTACAGTGTTAACCCCAATGAGAGGATAACCAATGTGGGAGAGCATGTTAATGGCAGATGTGACCCTGAAGGCGGTGGGAAGTTTGTTTAATTCATGGAGCTGTGGCAGCCACTTCTCCTCATCCGAGAGGTCAGAAATAATTCCAGACCTTATCAACTTATTCCGCGGCGGTGTCGAGGCAACAGAACCACTAGCGGACTTCCCACCCGGTGACACTTTCGATGCTCTTTGCATTGGGTCGCAGCAATATGACGTTCTGAAAAATTAAGAAATTGAAACTACTTTGGCACACATATTTCAAGAGCTTTAAGCTTTAAGCTATGCAAGCAATTCCCATCGACAGCTACATAAAATATTTGCACTGGCGTGAAACATTGCTAGATTGTTCCAAAAACCATAAACCACACCATGATAAAATCTAGGCTTTTGAGAACGTAAATGAAAGCTTAAAAAGGTTTTACTTCTCCGCATCCTTTATTAAACCTGACCTTTTGGAAAATAAATAGGTTTAATTAAGACTCGTATCCTAAAATTTGTCATGCTTACACTTGTTCTGAGTAGGAAGAACCAACTTACCTCCACTATGCCCAAACCATTAACAAAGACACTACTAAACCCAAGCAGAGTCCCGAGCACACCTGCGATACAACCTAATCAGACTCACCCTTTAGCGAACGCGCCGGGGTCTCTGTCTGTTGGCAAAGGAATAGAATTAAAGTGTGAGTTTAATATTAAAATAAGCAATTCCAAGGGTCAATAACGCCATACCAATCGAGGTGGAATCGGAATGCGGTTGATGGCCAAGACCTTGTTTCTCTTCCCTCATAGCCTCTTTAAAGGAGGCGATCTGGTAGACAGCATATCGAGAGATGGTTGCCTGGGTACGTGGTGACTCCAGGTACCAAGGGCTCTGTTCACCCAGAGGCGTCGATGATAAAGTTGCTGATTTGGTCTTGTCCACGCCATTCACCGACTGCGTGCGAATCTAAAGCGAACAAACTTAAACGTTATTCAGTTAAATGAGTTTTCTGCTTAACTTTCCCCAGCTTGATGCTCACTGATGATCCAAGATTGCCTCTTCCAGCTTAGAGCAATATGTCCGATGATAAAAGTTTAAATCTCTATTCAATAGCCAAATTACTTGTTGCAATTTTTCAATCATTCGTTAATTTAGATTCACTTAGGCTGCACACTTAAAGTGTTTCACTTCCTACTTTTACTAAAATAGCCCATGTTGATGCTTTGCTTAAGCAGATTTTCGATTCCTTGTAAATAATTAAGTACAATACGGTTTAATTAGCACTGATATTTACTCTCACCCATTCCACAGTGGATTAACTATCGGGCTTTACCGTAGATACTTTGAGCCGACTAGTCAGATAAGGAAATGATCCGAAAAGTCCATATGATAAACTGCAAAGCAAAATAGACGTTTTTCTGGGCAAGAATGCTTAAGAATGCGAAGCTCTGCTACCTCGATTCGCTGATTGGGGTTGGCTTCAACAAGGGATTTTGTGGAGAAGAATCCCAAATCCATTCGTAGAACAGCGGCCAAACCCCGCACAACCACGACAGGTTGAGAGAGGCAAAACCGAGTCAATTCGGGAGAAACAGCATCTTTGCGTTTTTCCAAATAAACGCAAGGCGTAGGAGGTAGCAACTTGTCTGCTGGGCAGGGAGGAAGAGGCTTTTCGGGAGGTGAGGGCAAAGGACCGCCTTCGGGCAGCAAACTGTTCCACCATGGCCCACCTAACCGACCAAATCCAGAAACAGCGTCGATAATCTAAGTTTCGGAAAAAAGCACTCAGTTATATCGTTTATAAGGAATAATAATTGGTGCTAAATCTGCGTACAAATCACCTGTTTAGCAGTCATTGAGGTATTCAGATCAGCAGTGGGCTTCTTAAGTTGCAATACCGGTTTGGTTAAAAAGGCACCCAAGTTACGCACAAATTTTGGTGGAGTGGAGGATTTTGGTGGTACCTCGGCGGTGTTGGACGGAGCAGCAGCACCACCGTCTTTATGTGCCAATGAGGTGGTATTCTCCCGTTTTGATGGTGCGGAGGGACATTGTTGCGCTTCCCCCTCTGTGGACTTCATATCCGCCGCAGCGGATGGTCCACCATGTTCAGTTGCACTAGCAGCAGTAGAAGCGCCAGGGGCGCTTCCGGCGCATTCACTGTCACCCCCACCATTGGTTGAACTCGGAGGATTTTGAAAGATATTGATATCGACCAAGTCATCGGCTGTTGTATTGAGCTACAATGCATCATTTTGTCACCTGAATGTCTATTTCACTAAAAGTAATGCCAAGCAGTAAATCTATATCATGGTGTCTTTAAAGATTTACATGACTATTCACCTATTGTCTGTCGCAATAATCTCCAAGTGAAACTGAGTATAGCATTTATGTTGTCATTAGAAAACGCTAAAGTTAAACTTCAGTGATCAAAAGTTGGCTAAAAAGACAATAACTCAGACTCTGCCCAAAATTATGCCGTTCAAGTAAAGGAAGTTAAACCCATATAGAACTTCTGGTACATACATCGCGGTCCATTAAATAGTAGCCGATAATTATAAAATACTGAAGAGGAGTGCCCATTTGGGTGGACACAACATCCATTCAGGCGTTAGAAGTTAATAAGACCAAGCATTAGTTGAATTACGCTGCAGGTTTGCAATGACTTTCATTCATGTCATTCACATTCCAAGTACAATGGAGTCATATATGTGCTAAAAAGGAGTGCAGTTTGTCTTTTGGAGCATAGTCAAATATAACACCAGTTCATGGGGTATGTGTCCCTTTCATTAGTTCAATCGAAGCAATACCCAAGTGCAACAAGTATGCAAAAGTAAAAGGTACTCCCAATCCACGAGTAGGTGTTTTAATGATAAGGCTTATCAAAAAGTCCGACTACAATGCCTAACCTGAGCAAACAGATCGTCAGTAAGAAGAGCAAAGTCATCGGGTAGTTGATCAGCCCCCAGAGCATCATCATTGGCAGCCACCGAGAGCAGTTCCGCCACTGTAGCATCCACTTGTTGCTGTTGGCGTTGACCCGTCTTTTCGACATCATCAGACGGCACTGTTTCACAGGCAGGCGGTGTGGTGGTACTAGCCTTGATATTAGAAACAGCCGCAGTGGCTCTACTCCCTTCGTGCCCCTCTGAAGCGGAGGTATTGCTCATCTGACGCTTAAGAATGCGCCGATTAACACAAGTAAATGGGTCCTCGACCAATGCTGCAGCTGCCTCTGGGTGGCTCTTCTTATAAAGCAGGTAATTGAAGGCTTTCGTGTAAATGCGCTGAAATTGATGACGCTGTCTGGCTGACTGGCCGTTACCTTGACACTGGCAAGTTGCCGGTAGGAAAGGCATAGAAATGAGGTAAATGTAACCCTTATTAACACGTAGCGTGCCTTTACTATGAAGTCTATGAAACAATTCAAAGTATTTCGAAGCAATTAATTCGGTAACCTCGAATTTGTTATAAATGGATAGCATTGTCAACAGTTGTACCCCACAGTGAGTGTGACAAGCAAATGGATGAAATTGGTGGTTGCGAAGTTTGAAGAAAAAAATCCGTTTATTAGAGAGCTACGAACGTTAAAGTAAGCCAAGAGTCATTTGACCTCAATGTCTTCACTATGTATAGGAGTGAAAGGTCCATACAAGTTTTAAAATGTCAATGTTACTGAATAGAATAAACAATACAAAATCCTATGAAAGTGGACTTGATTTACAAGAAGGCTGTACAGCGTGCTAATTTCGTCCACTGAAGGGGGTGGGTCCGAAAGCAATGAAAGGTCTTTGAAATCCCTTTTCCTGCACCCTTCGCCTTCACCATCATCTTCTTCTACCTTAAGCCTTTTAAACGGTCTTGGCGGTTCATCATTTTGTTTTTGAGTGCCTACAGAGCACAACGGATAAATCCAAGTTTTGTTGTGTTCTAAATACAAGTGATTCACATGAACATCTTAATTAATAATAACAAATTGAGGTAGACATTAATTTTAAGGCATGAAAAGAACTTATTTTAGAACGCTCAACTAATAATCCATTTGCTATATACGCAGTTTAGCTCAATCAATTTTCTATCTTCTTAGTTAACTAAAAGATATGAAAGTAATATCGCAAATTCGATTAATACAATATCCGCAACAGCTAAAGTAATCAAGAGACACGCACTGCTCCTAGAATCACCTTTGCCATCCTTTATTGTCTTTCCTCCTTCTTCCTCTTCCTCCTCCAATTTGATAGCGTTACTACTAAGGAGGGCAGCCCAATGAGAGCCGCTGTTAGAAAAAGCCGAACACTGCGAACGATTAGCTTCCTGAAGCATAAGCTGCACCTGTCGCTGAGTGAGTTCAGCAGGGATGGGCAGATCCCAGGCGGCATCCACGGTAGGCAGTTTGGCCAGAGGGGTAGTCGAGAGAGCAGAGGAAGAAATGGCGCCTCCAGCCGCGTTCACCAAACTCATATCTGCGCCAACACTGCCACAGCCCACCATTACCTTGTCGGCAAGGCGGGGTAGCAGCTGCTGTAGGGTTGCAATGCGAGCCTTTACTGGCGGCTTTATCTAAAAATGGAAAAACATTATCTCCCAGTTTTGAATTGATGGGAGATCGCATTCTCTGCTCGCGCACATACCACATCTCGCTTGTCCGCATTCGCTGCGTTTGTATAGCACTTTAGCGCCTCTTTGAATTGATGCATGCTCTCGTACAAGGTGCCTAAGTTGACCCATGCAGTGACGTGACACTTGTCTAGTTGAACCGCGCAAAAGTATGCCTGCAGAGCATCCATAGGCTGATTTTGTTCTTGATACAACACACCAATAGAGCACCTGTAAAGTGTCAATGTATTTTTTAAAAAATCCCAAAATCGGAGTAATGCAATCAACGGTATGGTGTAAAAAAACGCACCACGTATCTGCACTTGCTTCTGTTTTGTCAATGGAACTACGGTAGGCCCGGAAAGCGTCCTGTACACGATTGACAGCGGCTTGACAGCGACCCAGTAAATACCAAGTCTTCCCATTTGAACTGTCCAGATCAACTGCTTTTTGAAGAAGTTGAATAGCCAACTCTTTGTGTGCTAAGGAGACCGCACCTGGTTCACCTTTTCCCCCAATTTGACCGCCGCCACCAGTTTGGTAAAGCCAAGCTAACGAGAGAAACAATCCATGAGAAACAGAGATCAACTCACCTAGCTGTCGCAGGCAGAGATGTTGGATATGAGTGGCCGTGTCCGGTTGAACGCTTTCGAGTATCTGCTCATAGGTCGCCTTTGCCTGCTTAATACGACCGCAAACTTCTAATAAGTGTCCTATCTGAAATTGAACTAAAGTCAAACCTAGCATGAAAATTAATGTCATACTCTCAATGGGACCCCATGTGCTGGGGCAATCGTCATGAAGAGCCTGACGAAAGTGTCTGTGACTCTTGTCGAGGTCCTTCCTTAGCTTATAAATGTAACCAAGGCGAATGTGGATTTCCTTTCGTCGTGGAAAGGATGGTTGGAGATAGATAATTTGTTGAAACAGTAGGAGAGCGCTTAAAAATCAAGAGTCACAGATTCAGGAGGAATAGCAAACCTACCGATTGAAAGCACCAAAATGAAAACAACATAATGCAAGACCATAGAGGAAAGACAGATTTCGACGACCCTTTTCATCTACTAATGATTCATACTTCGAATAAGCTGAGAATGCATCATCATAGAGATTAAGCAAGAGTTGGTAATGGCCAAGTAGGAGATAGATAGCCGGTGGAATACTTTCATCTTGCATCTTAGAGTATTTTAAATAAACATTGATCCGAATTTTCGTAGGAGATTGCACAGAGTTTTGTACCTCATCAATGACACGAAGCTCCTCCTGTTCATCCTTTGCTCTGGCTTCTTCCAACTCGTATACTTTTCTTGCAATAATCCCATCCAAGTAGAAAACGGCCCTCTCTAAGAGCTTGCGATTATCGTTAATGTCAATCCGAAAAAAGCCAAATTCCAAGCTATAACATAAATATAGCGGGAAGCTAGCAAAATACTAAAATCAACTCTACTACACATAAAATAAAGCGTCTGCATATACTACACTAGCAAGGCCAACAACCGAAAAACCCCCGACGTACAATAGCGACCCTCAATCCTGTACATTCAGAGTCAGGACTCTAAAATTTCCCAAGGCAAATAGAACTGGTGATCACACATAAGGCCAAATCGCATATCTTATCAGGAAACCGAAGCATGACAAAAGTAGGACAAATCAAAAACAAATGTGTTCCAAAGGAGCAAAAAATGGCTATCTACTGCTGTACCAGAAATAGACAAGAACCTCTCAAGACATGAGCATTTTTCCTAGGTGATTAGCATTGACAGAAAAACCCCGGTGTAATAAGGCAAAAACACCAACTGCAATTAAATGAGTGAGAGCCTGCCTGTCAAGTTCGGCGAGTTTAGCAGCCTCCTCCTCTGTAAATGACAATGACAAACAAGGCGATGAAGCCATGCTACTCGCTAAAACCCAAAAGCAGTCCCATCTGCCGACACAATCAATATAAGCGCTTATCCTCGCCAGCTAAAACAATGAACAGGTAGTATGAATCAAAGTATTCATTAATTCTTAGGTATCCATAAAGCTTATATGTTCTTGCCTTAGGTTAGAGCTTGGTTTCTATGTTTCGAAGGGAAATCATGCTAGTTTCTTGCAATTTAACTGCTGTCCAGGCTCTGAAATATCGTGAATGCTGTCCCAGCTTACGAAACATCTTTTTTCCTTTTCGATGAGTTTACAAAACCCAAAGACCTAAAAAACTGTTAGAGTCCCAGATTTCTCCTTTCTATTACATTATTATGTAGCATCGTTTAAGTAACCATCTATTCGGCGGGTCTCGTCCATGCCAACTGACCGTCTAGGCGGCAATACTGAATCGATGCGATGTCAATTTTTAACTATTAGTATCGACTACCCAACAGTTAGCATAACCTCTACTCCCACCGGTGATTTCGGAAAATCACTCATGTACCTCAACCATCTCTGACTTAGACCTCCCCAAAGGCAAAACTTAGAATTCACTTACTAAGCGAACAGATGGAGAGGCGCTGGTATGGCACCAAGCAAAGACGATTAAACTATTACAGCTGAAACCAAGAGCTTAGTAATTAAGCACCATTGTACCGGCCGCTTTAGCCACTGAAACAGGCACGAACCCACCGCACGTATTAAAAGCCACATCTCACTGTTTAGAGATGACTACAGTGGTAAAAATTCATGTTTGGATGAAAATAAAGGTAGTAAACATGCACCGCATACGATAACTTCGGGAAGCTTTGTCTTTTGCTTTAAAATGTACAGAGCATGTGGGCACATAAAATGCAGGGTTTACTGGGAGTCAAAGTAAGGCGACGGTATCAGCGGCCCTCTTTAAACTTGACTGCACAACCGCCCCGTAGTAGTTCTCTCTTCCCGTCTTATGATGGCTGACTGGCTCATTAACGAATCGTTCTCCACCGTTGAGGCTTCAACAGGGACTGGCGAGGGTGACGGAGGCTCGAATGATGTAGCCCTTAGATTGAACCTGCGTGACAAACTAGCAAAAGAAACTTCGCCAGCTTCGTTTTGTGGCAGATTCAAAGGTGGCATACTGGGGCACTCAAAAACTCCAGCAGTAGATGTTGATGACGAAGACATCTGCTCCTGATTGCAGTAAGTAGGTTCAGCTGCTCTAATTTTCGTACCCCCGTTGAAGGAAAGGGTAAGGCTTGTTCTAGATACGCAAGGGAGAGTGGCGAACAGGGAGCCACTGACTGTTGTGGTTGTGGTGGTGGGTGCTGGAAGGACGTGATTGTCGATTCCACTGTCACTTGATGAGTTGGGATTCGAGGACGAACTGGCTTCACTAGTGCTGGGAGAGTTTTTCATGGTTTTGGTCAAATCCTTGAAGGTTACTCGTGGTTGGGTTTGCTTTGACTCGTCCAGTTTTGTGCTGGAGACTGCAGAGACAACAGTAGCGGTGGCAGCGGTGGTCGATGCGGATGACTGAGGGAGAAAGGTGTGCGTCTCCTGGGCACCCTCCACCAGAAGATGGCCTGCATCGGCCTCACCGGATCCTTGTGCAGCGAAGGGAGTGCCGTTTATAAAACGAAGGCTACCTGGACACAAAATTTCACTTGGACGCAAAGCATACCGCAGAGCACCTACAAATTTATTAAAACTCAAATAGTAAGTAAAATGGAAAAATCTGATACTTTGTGCGAATTATAACTAGTTTTCTTGCGATGGGCTGACCGTATACACCATTTGCCTATTAACTGTACCGCAAACATGACTTTAAACAAAAATTAGGTGAGCGATGGACTTCAAGCACTTTTATGCCTTATAAAAACCTCTACTTTTTGTTATCCAGTACTTAGCTTTCAGTGACTATTTCACATAGTAAAAAGCACTGTAATATCTGAACTTTGTCCACCAGTCAATTAATCACGCAAACTTACGCCTCTCAATAACTGACAGTAAAAAGGTTAATAGCTACGTGACAAGAATGTTACTTACTGAGAGGATCATCAGGTTCCTGAGATGACGACCTCGGTATCTGCTGATCAAACGGTGTTGTGTTCGTCTGCACATCGTTGCCGAAGGGCTGCGTCTGAGACGATGCATTCATTCCAAGTGCGTTGGTAGTATTCAAGGAGCTTTGAAGACATACATAGTTGTTGGTCCCTAGGATGGTACGCAGAATGATTAAGAAACTCAACCGTGTGCAGCCAGCCCATTCATTATACATTCGGGAGGCATAATAGATCAGGCGCACCGACTTAATTTAATGGGTTAAGCCTCCATTGATCTAACACTAACGATAAATAGCTGTCGTAAGGTGAACCGAGCTTTCGTTACCATACAAATAACTTTAAGTATGATTGTAGCTTCTAGAACAGATTACTTGATGATACTTACCACTCTGACGACTACTGCCTTCGGTGTCCACACTATAGCAATCCGTGTTCTGCAGAGCATTTGCAGCTGCTCTATTTGATTGGCCGATGGGCACCTGACCTCCAGGAGGAGGTGGCGATACTATTCCAGCAAGGCGATACATTCCCGCCACAGGACCGCCATCGTGGAGACAGGCATAGAGAGGACTCCCAGAGGTCAGGCGTAAACCCCCACTACCGCCACTAGGAGCAACACCACCAGTGCCAGCAACACCGCTGGCGCACCTCATACCATCCTGCGGCAAACGCTGTGGTGCCGCACCGGTGACGGTGGCCAAGAGGGTGCCCGTAGGACCACCAGGACCTCCACCATTACCTCCTAGACGAGTGAGAGTTGCAGCCGAATGCGAGAGATACTGTGGCGTGAGAGGATGAGGTATTGGTAAATGGGATGGAGCTGTATAGTTCACCTAAAATTGACAATAAAAGGGGACAGTTTTGTAATTCCGTGAAGGCGCCAACAGTATACATGAAACGTTCGATAAAAATTCGAATAAGCACGTTAAAATCCACTCATCCAAGTTCAGTAAGACAATCAGTAAATGCATCACTGGAAAAAAGCTTAGTAACTGGAATGGAAATAAAACTGACTCTAAGCGAAATTCCCGATTCAAAATAGACAAAATGAACACAAGTGAGGAAAGTAAACGCACAGAAATGCTTTGACGCATCCGGAGGAAGGAGTCTTTGAAATTTAACTCATACATAGAAAAGATCTTGCTTTTTCTTTAATCAAAGTGACAAAGCAAACTCGTAAATGCGTTGATAAACCGCTCAAACAGGCAGGTTTTCGGCTGCGCAGTAATGTGCGACTGACCTACGATCGCGGTTTCTGTTGAGGCAAATAGCCGTACCGCCTCACGGCATTGCTCTTGGCGAGCGGACTTGCAAATGCTTGATGACAAAACTGGGAGTGTAAGTGTGATTTAAGAAATAAGGTGATATATTTGTGGAAAGTGAACACAAAATAACGTCACCGGTGAGCCTGAAATGTGACAAGTGGTTATGCAATTTTCCTTTTAAACAATTTTATTTTCGAAAAATGGTAAACTGTAGTAGGTTAATAATAGATGGAACCTGAGAAAGTAGTCCTATCTCAGTCATCATGGATAGATAGTACTATAGTGGTGATAATTTGAACTACTCACTTAAGGAGCAAAATTAAATTGATATTTTGTTTTTATTGTTTTAAAAGGTGTACATCGTTCTGATACTAATGCGCCGTACGTACGTTCTCAAAAGTTATAGGACTGATCACAAGCACCATTTACATACACCGGATCCTACGCAGTCAATTTTGATTTCACGTATGGGCAAAAAATGGGACTTTTGGTGCAATTAAAGCATTACGTCCATAAACAGAGGAATTTTTTGTCACAAGATCTTCGATACAACCTAACAAAGGTTACACGGGAGAGCCGTATCGGAGGTGCTTTTCGTGAGTGTGTGTAAATAAAACATCCATGTGTGTGAGGGATTGGGTTCCACTGAGTAATTAGGAGACAAAGGCTTCAATATGGACGTCTTTATTTGACAACTTTTATGAGTAAGGTGGGGATACAACGCCTCCAGGCATGTCCATTAGATGACTACTGAAGACGTAGGATGGCCCCCTTGGCATATATTTGCAGTGCCTTGATAGCTCTAGCCTTGTGATAATTCATTATTGGAGGCGAGCGAACGAGAGTGAGAGGCTTAACCCAAACAAGGGCGCTTTCGAAAGTTATGGACAACTCGAGAAAGAACTCGTGGTGCAATTACATACCTGTTAGTCCTGAATTTTAATGAACCACGGCGACAACTGCTTTCAAAAATAGAGTGATTTATAAATGGCATTTAAAGTGGTCAATCAAATAATTTCACATGTGAAAAATTGCCGTCTAACACTTCACCAGTCGAGGACGTATTTCATCTTTAACTTTGTTTACCATAATGTAGACAGCTTCGACTTCAGTACATTTCCACATTTCCACGCTAGACTTTTAAGTGCGCTTTAATTTTCATGGCTTCAGCTTTGCTACACCGATTAACAGCGAGACAACAACAACGACAATACACTGAAAAAGACGGTGTGGATCAATGCATAGCCTCTTCGCCGCTGTTCATCGGACTTGGCAGCTATGCAAATTTTCTCATGAACGCGCATACATGCCATCATGAACAACAAGCGGACGGGGTGAAGGCATGTGAAGACCCTATTGTAAACGAGGTACCAGAGCACCACCCCATCTGCACAGACCGGCGTGCCTTAAGGGTGTGTGTGTGTGCGTGTACATATGTGCTCACCAGATGTAGCACGCAAGCACGACCTCTCGTCACAGTGCACAAGCCGGCGCGCACTTCAAAGGCGTGGCCAAATGACAGGCAGTCAGAAAATGGATTTACATCGCTCTCCTTCAAGTGGTCGTGATTACTCGCTTACCTCCCTCCAGAGGGTGATGAGCGACCTCAGTACCTCTGATGACCGGGGGCTTATGCCCACCTTAAATGTAAATTAGCAAAATGAAAAAAAGAAAATAAACCATTCCGAGGTAATAGGAAAAGAATGCACAGTTGCTCATCGAGGCAATTCCGCTTACAAGTGGCCGGATTTGATGGTAATGGAGATAACAGTCGATGAATAAGCAGCCTAAACGTGGGATGCCAGGTATGTGCCCAATGAAAAAGGGGATTTGGAACTCGGGAGAAGAGACGTAAAGTATCTTGAAACTCACGTTACCCAATTACAAACCAGAAAACTTTCAATTCATTTAGGATTGAAACAGAAGTTGACTCCAAAAAAAGCGGGATGTGACAACTTGCGGGTCTGATAGCGAGGAATGATGTTTTGCGATCGAGACTACCATTAAGTATGGTGAACATGTCACATACCAGTCAATTCCAGAACCGATGTCTCGATATGAATTTGCTGAAACTTAAGACAGCCAAGAATCGAAATCCTCGGTGCCGTTTAAGTGTCACTTAGTGATTTTCATCAGTACTCCTCTGTCTCATTCAATAAAACACAAATGACAGGTCATTCAGGCTAAAGACACCGTGATTCACCGTGTCGTACGCCACGACGGAGGTGCTGCATTCCCATAAAAGCTAAGCGATCCATGCCTTCTCAAGTGAACTTGTTCCAGTTTTCACTTTCAAAACTCAAGCAGCAACGCTTCGATAATCAAAAGCAAATTTATTGAAACGCTTCTGCCATGGCAATGACAACAATCAGATCCCATGCTGCCGAACTCTTATAGTACAATGGAAGCGTGTCTACGTCACGTATTCAATTCACCCGATGTGCTGCTCACAAAAGGACGGCAAAGAACAATAAGCCTTTAAAACGAGACCGAAAATTGTCCAATGATAAAGCAAAGCCATATATACACCCAGATTAAGAAAATAGAGATGATGAGCCGTTGTTGATGAGGGCAACTCGATTAAGTATTTTCACAGTTTCATATCAAATGTTCGTTGAATTTGATACATTTGGAAATAGATATGCCAGACTCTCACAGATACCTTCACCAAAGTTGGCAAAGCCATAATTCCGCCCCGGCATCCTCGCCTAAGCTTTTGCACAAAATTGCTGTGCCGAAGATAACGAATTCCTAAATTTCTCAAAATTCATGCAACGCATAAAACATCCGAAAAAGCCGGAAGTTGCACTGAATCATATGCGAGCCAAAATTTTGCCCCAACACATGCAACTTAGCACATAAAATTTTCACGCCTATCACCTTAACTTCAGTGTCTTGTTTGCACAAAAATGCGCGCCTAAAACCTCACAGTCGGCCAAATGACAAAGTAGAGATGCGGGTTGACACAAAACAAGAAAAGTAGGGTAAAGTGGAACAACTTTTCAGGACGTGTCCACAGGCATCGGAGGTCAATCATCGACCGGGCAACAGCTTGTTGATTCATGAGGTGGTACAAACGATGCACGGTGCATTCAAAACACGGCAAAAAAATAACGGACGACATCTTAGTTTCGTCACTTAATGCTGATGCTAGCCCGTGAAATGCGAGGGCATTTCTTCTCCACATCAGTATGCAGTGCAGCGACCAAAAAGAGACAGGGAGTTGTTTACTTGAGTTGGGCGTGAGTGGTGCCCCACTTTCATCGTCACCCAACAGTTTTCGTTTGTGAGTCAACAGGTTTCTGCGTTTTGTAAACAATTATGCGCCTTTGCTAACCAAAAAATTGTTCAAGTGAAAATGCTGACTCCTTAATAAAGCATCGGTCCTGTGATTAATGCATAAAAAGGTGGATGACAACGAGGAATGAAACGAGATAAGGTATTGCTTTTGCAACTTATTGGGAGGATAAAGCAAATGTAAACTTAGGCAGCCATTAACTATAACGTTGCACACAGCAGAACCGGCAGCAAGTGGAATAATGCATGCTCATCACATCAGTATCAAATACCTTGAATTTCCACTCGGGTTTGAGGCAGAATGCGAACCAGATGATAAACCAGACACAGAAGAAGAAGACTGTGGCGACAATGTTGGCTAAAAGTAGTGGACTTCCACCTGTCCCAAAGGCATGACCGCAGGCAATAAGGATGGGCATTTTGATGGCAAGAACGCAGAGGGCTCCCACTACTGCTACAAGCCGCCGCCAAACCACACCTCTTTGCCTACGTCGCTGCCCTTCCGACTTCAGGCCGCAGACACCCCCAACGCCTCCAACCTGTATTGATGCCGTGTCGGAAGGGACGACATCTTGTGAAGTAGGCCCGAAAATGGCACTTCTCCTCAAAGCATTGAGTCTGTCTACGAATTGATCAACGCCATAGTCAAAAACACAGGAGGTGAGAAGTAGCGTCGTGATGGTCCCAAACGCAGAAAGAAAGAGTACGGTTGCGTTTTGTAGGCCCTCTGGATCTTCAGCGGGTAGTTCAAAGACTGCTGGTTCTAGATAATCCACTTTATCACCATTAGCAGATGCTCCTACAACAGCCGTCTGACACAATCCTGCTTGAGAAGAAGCAAACTTCTTATCATTCCAGCAAAGTTTGACTATGATTTCGGCAGAATTCATCTCCAAAAGCCCGTGCACGCCGAGAACAACAAGTAGAAGAGAGAATGTAAAGGCAAAGGCATGATTGGTTCGCCAAAAGACGGATGGATAACGAAGGGCTAACGCTGCGAACGCGAATAGGAGATTGAAGAACTCCACTGACATTGCATTGGAGGACGATGAGCGCAAGATCGAATTCAGGTTGCTTTTCCACACGTTTTCTGCAGCGAATGGATTGGAGTAAATACAAATGGTTTCCAGTGAGCGTAAATACAACTAGAAGATTTTTATACATATTAGAACCTACAACACCTTCCATTTGGAGCATGATTTAGTTGAGCATCCAACAAGGTAAAAATTAAGCCAACTTCATCACACTCATTGAAACAATAATTTAGGACAGACTTATTTGAGAAGGAACACATCCTCATCTTAAATATCGTGAAGGATTTTGTGAAAGAACGGCACATGAGACGATGATAGCAGGCCATTCCTGCCTTACGGTGGACAATATCAATGGTACACCCTTTTTTTTGGAAGCAAGCTAGCTTGAGGGATGCCGGCAGGGGCAGGGCTAGAGCCACAGGCGTACGCGATATTGGACAGGAAGCGCCTGTACTAAATTCCCATTCACTTGGACGGAATTAGGATTGACCGTAGAGGGAATGTTGGCAAAATAATGGAGTAAATGCACATATGAGACCCATTTGTTTTAAATATATCTGGACTATTCATGTCCTAACACTTTTGACTGGAAACCCCACTTCCACATATGTCTGTTGCATTCAACCATCAGTGTCATTGCATCTCCACAGAAATATGAAGGGATTTGAGAAATGTGACTACTATTTTAAAATATTGTTCTTTATGCTTGAGTCAATGCACTCACCCACCACCGCGTTTACCAATAGTAGACGACTTTGGATTGAGAGTAAAACACAGGTCACGAGGCCTGACATTAAAACAGGACAATCGAAACTGTCCCGTGAGAGCCTTCGTTACCTGAATCGAACCCTTTGATTTACGGCCTGTCACCGAGCCGCAGAGTAAGTGCAGTGAACCTGGATATTCATGCATCGGTTCCAAGGGCATTTTAAGTAACCTTAAGGAAAACACTGAGGCATGCATGTGCGCACGTACTCATCTGCACTTTACACTCCTAATGGTGTTTGCGTAAGACAAATATAACAATCGGGTTTCAGTGGTGTTGCAAGGCGGAAGCAAAAATTAAAAAAATGCTTTCATCCAATATGCGTTTCTACTCTCCACCACCAGACATGCCTGATCAGTGTGACTAGCAGGGAATTCCAGTTACAATGCATTAGTATGCTCTGCATAGGGCAAGTACCGCTACGGGTGAAGTATGCGCCCGGGGCTGGTTGTCAAGGCCTTACTTATGGGCAAAAAATATAATTACTAACCCGCAGAAAAGCAAACAATTTGTACCGTAGAACGAATTTCCTGTGATAAATCATCATTGTAGTGCCTTTCCGTTGGTGATACGTGGAATGGTCAATACAAGAGGCGGGTGTAAGGTTAGGTGTTCCCCTTACAAAACCCATCTTTACGCACGTCCAAGGAGATTCGTCAATTGGGAATAATGAACCGAATTTGGGGAGCTAATTTCAAAGTGATTGGTAGTAATTTGCCAAGACCAATTGTAAGAAGGAGTAAGAAGAAACGAGGGCTGCAGTGGTGCAAAATTTTGGCAACAGATTTTGTGATAAATGTCTGAATTGACAAGTAATATGTTGATGAACCAGAGATCAAAGGTCACAGTAATTGAGAAAAAGTGGTAGGCACAGATAGATCCTTTTCGGAGCTAAGAGTTGCACGTGGCTTGATGGCATGGGTTGTGGGGATAGTGTGAACACCAAGTGGAAAATTAAATTAAATGCACAGTCAAATTAGCTGGAAAATTTGAGCTCTTCAATGAGCCCTAAGCGTCCATTCTACAATTTAGTATACACTTCCCAGGCAGTGTGTGCAATAGCCAGACAATGGAGCCACTCCAACAACGCTTACCTATTCATCCACCCTTAAGGGGGAAGCTACTGTTTACCCACTTAGGGGAGTAGAGTAAAACACCATGACCATCAGGTAGGTCTGCTGGACAAACAAGGCAGACACGCACGCTCACATTAATTACATTGTTCGCATTAAACAATGATAAGTCTCCTCCAGGGTACATATCGCAGAACGGTTATGATCTCTAAATCCGGCGTTTTCGCATTACATTGCCACCTTAAGACTAGTGGGAAGGATTAACGGAACACACCCTTCTCCAGCCTCAGACACTGATGGAATTGCACCTTGATCCACGTGATATGTGGCAACCAGCCAGTTCGGTCGTCAGAGCTGTACAAAAAGTGGCTCACTAGCTAGTACTCATTCACTTCGTTGGGAATGATGCAAGTAATGGTGACGACGACGTGATTTACTTGCCTACCACCATAAAGCCAAAAACAAATCCAACTCACCATAGGATATGACGTGGTGAAAAATAAGCTGGGCTTCGAGAACTGGTAGAGGTAGCAAGAAGGCATGGGCGGAGATGATATGCATGAGGCTAGAGGGGGGAATAAAACGCCGTTGAAAACGCCTCCAAAGGGCATACAATGACAACCAGCGCTCCTTCTCTCCCGTCACGTTCGTTCCTCCAGTTGATACTATTGATCGAAACATGGTCGGCAGTCCCGGATAGGTGGCAAAATCGCTGGGTGGAACGTGAGCAGCGCTGCGGGCAGACCAGGTGTCAAACGGTGGCACTCCCTCCTCCTCCCCTACGGCTCCCAGCCCAGCACTAAGGTTGCCTCTCTCCAAAACGCCATTTGCAGTGGCATAAAGACCTGCATTACTTCCCTCTTGTTGTGACTGCGTTTGTTGAGGCCAATGAAACGGGCCAGGGTGGTAAAGAACCAGCTCCTGCCCTAGTGCAACCCCTTCACCAGCAAGATTTGATCCACGGATCAGACTGGAGTAGAGGAAAAGACAGACAAAAAAGGTCGCAACAATGAGCATCGCCAGGTAGAAATTCATTCCAGCTGAGTTCCAATTGCCACCATACTTAGGATCAAGGAAGTGTTCCTTGAAGGTAATGTAGCGAGCTATGCCAGAGTAGAGCATGAAAATTTGCAGGCAGGTGACAAATATGATGTACCAGGGGCGCCAGAGATTGTCGCAGTTGATCGCCCTAGAAATTAAGGCAGCCATTGTACGGTGCGAGGCGTGAGTAACAAGGCCTTCGTATGAGTAGTAGTGCGTCTCCCTGATGCGTGCACGGCCGTGACGGTGAAGGTGCGTATGTGTCTTTTGCAAACGCACACGTCTGTGTGCATGCACCTGAGACGCTCATCCAATTGGTCATGCCACACAAACCAATTAGAGATGCCCTTCCGCCTAATGTGAGCAGGCTCGGACAGGAGCGAAAAGCGGAGGAGTTTGAGTTGCTAGGTTTGTCTCTGTGACGTGCGGTTTTTGGACAGGAAATTGGCAGTGACCTACTAGGACGGCAAATCTGACAAACGCGTCCAAATTGACAGTTCCCACAACAATTATGCACTGGACGTTTATTACTTTTCGAACTCCCAAAACTTTACGGTAGTGATTTTGGCTTATTTGGGATTCGTTTTGAAAGGGACTTTTGATTTAACATTTGTTTACACGTAGACAGCATAATGTAACAGTATTTAAGCTCCCTGCCAACTGCATCCCTTAAAGGCTAATTACAGTCAGGTCAGTGGGTATTTCATGGAAGGCAGAGGCGATACTTAATCAGAGATGCTAAGACTGCTGCAGCAACGGAATTTAGGTCCTGCATTGCCAGTACGATTCTACCGTTTGGAATGAGTCCAGCGAAAAACCAGTTTGTTTGGTACGCGCCAGTATTAATACCGAAATAAACTGCTCATCTTGACCTCACCTAAACAATCTGTGGTATTGGGGGCTATCTACATTGAATTTTTATTTGCTGCATAGATTTTCAACTCGTCAAATAACCCTCCTTAGTCCTTTTTTCTGTAAGGAAACCCTGATTCCCATTGTCACCCCTAATTTATTCACCGTGACCTGACAAGTCCCATGGCCTAAACACGGTCAACAATTGGAGCTATTGTGTAGTCATTTACGCTGCTGGAATAGATTAGTTCTGGCACCCTACCCATACATTGAAGGGTGTACGTTGGCAACCGGGGCGGTCGCATGGATGAAGAGGCCATCTGCAGTGGTCTTATTTTTGGACGTTCTTTGTTAGACATGAACCCACATGAACACCGGTATCGATCAGGTCCCCTTCCGAGGTATCAAAATATGAAGTCCTCCCACTAGGTTGAAGGAGACCCGTGTTCATTCTGCCGTTGTCTCAACAACTGTTCTCTAATATCAGGAGTGAATGAAGGTTTGAGTTCCTTTCGATTACTGAATTGCTCAGTGGAATTATTGAGCTCTGACATCAAAGAATCCCCAGTGCTTTCTACAAAAAGGGAATAGGAGGCGATAAACCTAATTTCTGAGTGTTTCATACCCTCCTTTTATGTATCCTATAGCCATATTCACGAGATGAGGAAGCAGTGGGGCTCACGCACCTTTAGGATCGTGATTAAGTCATGTCTCTTTTCTTGTGGACTGATATATTGCAGCCCACTATTCCTTTGCAGCAGAAACTGGAGCAAATAGCATTTTAGCCCCATTTTCATAGAATGTGAAGACGTGCTTTAGGGATTCCAACAACGGGTAGTGATGTAAGCAGTACTTAACGCATAAGTACATCTAGGCTTGTACAATTGACTCAATGATGCTTCATACAATCAGTCAAAGAAGGCCACCACCGCATTGACTTACCTCTGCGCCTTGGCAAGTTTTAACAGGTACTCACTGTCCAACCCCTCTGAACACGTGCTCATCAAGTGGCAGTCTTGCTAAATCCAGCAGCCAGAAGCCTTCATTTCTAGTTTGTATTCTGTTCCGGTCTGTGCAGTTTCCCTCTATTTGGGATGTTTTTAATATCACTTAGTGAGTTATTTGAGAAGTGTTTGAACAATTCCTCAACACTTTGAATGCACAATCATTAGCTACATCTGAACAGTTGCCACTCTTTTGGATGCGTTACCACTAGTCACCACACCTTGTTTGAGCTTAAACCGGTGCATAACTTATAAGCATACAGATTGGTTGAGTGATCCGATCGGTACCTTATGGTTGACATGAAACACTGAATCGGAACAAGTGATTCTCATCTGCCAGTTACTTTCAGAGATGAGAGAGAGGTGTGCTTTATTAGAACGTTTCGTGGTCAACGCAGAAGACTTGTAAATAGGGGTTTGAGAAAGGTATGAAAAGAGTTGGTGCAAGAACCAAAACCTGAAAAGTAGGCCTCACATGAGAACTTTAATCCACTCTTGTTTGAGATGAGCAAACAGGCTGCAATTGTGCCGGTGCAGAGCACTTGACATTTCCAACGTCATTCTAATCAACAAGGCACGCCGAGCAACTGATTGTCTGTTTAGTCAAGCGTTTTTAGTCACGTAGACCCTCTAGGCGTCTCCTCTGAACTCATCGCGATTCCCTACTTTGGCAAGAAATAACATAGTCAAATAGCATATTCGCTTTTGTTTTCAGGAGAGACGTAGAACCCGACAATAATGCTATGGTCTTCGGAGGTAAATGAAACTAGGTTGAGTACCTATTCGTTTGGCAAGTCGGTACCGTAAATGATCGTGTGTAAGGTAAACTCGAAACACTTGACACCATTAAAGAACAACGAACCCACCTGGCTACAGAAGCTGAGTGTTTACCAATGAAATGATGAATGCAATACTTATACAATTGCTGCATTCTCCTTACTAATAGCAGCGGTCAACAAGGATAGATTTACCTCGTCTAGGCAGTGGGTCACGTTATTTCAGCATTCTTTCATAAATCAAACATGTAAAGTGGATGAGTGGCAAAATTTCAATGACTTAAGACTGAGGAGAAATTCCGTTTGCTTGACTCATACCTCGGACCTATTAAATGAATTAATCATACAAATAGTGAAATGTGATTCCCTTTAAAGGAGGTGTTAAAGTTCATCTACGCGGAGTAGCGAAAAGATCGGAGCTCTTGCTTCAAGTGTCTTGAATTGCGGGAGTAGAAAAAAATAAAAGAAACCAGTTTCGGATTTTACGCTTTGGATGCCTAACATTCGATTTGTAAAACTCATTGTAAAGGCGTTAATCAAGCTGAATTGATTATATGGGTCAAGAAATCATGCAAATACCAAATAACTCATGGCATCGAGCTTCCGTATACTCAATGAATTTAAGTGACCATGAATATTGCAAGCGACGGCACTACAAATGGACGGGAAGTAGGATCGTTGCTGCTGAGATTCACCTTACCTTGTGAAAAAGAGGTATTTCTACTTGTTGAAAGAGAGTTTCAGGAATGGGATATGAGGCGTTTAAAAACAAGCAGTATTGAAAGCAAAGTTGAACTTCTATCCACTGAAGGATGCTGATTTTCCGACAACATTTAACTCTAGTTATCTTTCTGTCTGCCTTACTTGCCCATTCGTGTCCTGCTTCCCCATCGGCTCTAGCACGCCAAGAACAGTTCCGTTTCATGCTCATTCCATTCTCTTCTTCACCGCCCCTTAAAATCAGCGGCTACGAATTACCTAGCAGGACTTTTTGGGCCCCTTGATCAGTTATGCGCCTGGTCTCTCTTGCTAACAATGACTTTGATTATTAAACTAACTAAAGCATCTTCGTACGTACTGGGATTGCTGATTCAAGTTTACGTTATAAGCAATGGCCGTGGGATGAATGAGTGAGCAAGAAAGTACTCATCCAGAGAGTTGAATTGAGGTTCAAGAGTTCAGTCTGTTAAATGCTCTACTTCATTAGTATCGTATTTATGCGCCATTTTCATTGACCCAGCCGCTACCTTGGTTACTACTGCTTAAATCAAGCCATATTTACGCGTCACACAAGCAGAGGTGGTGCTCACGTTGCTGCTTTTCTCTGTTGCCTGTCAAACTAGCCTGCGGCATGCAGGACGGGAAGTTGGTTACTAGTCACAGCCTAGGGATGCTGGCGCCTATCAACAAATTCCACGTTGGAGCTTTTCGACTTCATTAGCCACACCAACAAACAACGCCCTTTAGACAATGTGTACGACCCTTTGCATTACCTTAACAAAATTTTGTGAATTAATGTCATTAGGGAATGTGTTTGCAAAGTAAAGCGATCAACCATAAGAAACTTTAGCACAAGTGCCAGATGCAATTCGGGTGCTACAACAATGGTAACCTCGATTTTAGGACTACGAGTTATTTTATGAAAAAAAGTTGACTTGGCAAATAACCGCATCTGCATAAGCGTTTTCATTAAGCAATATGTGCGAACTTTATGGCGTCATTTAGTCCCATTAGTTAAGTGATCAATGAATCCATTAGTTCTGAAAACACCTTCCCCTTTAATGACTCAAATATGCAATTTCTTACACTCATATGATGTTCAATGGCTTAAAAATGCTCAAGTGATAGGACAAAGGCTCTAGTTTGAGCACGTTAGCGTGTTGTAGCACCTTCTTTGTGTACTCAGCCCCTACCACCACTAGTGTGCGTGAGGACTCACAAAGCCTATGAGAAAAGAGAGAAAACACCATCCAGTCACGGCACCTTGCATTAAATCCATTCAACCACTGTGGCAATGGCCATTGTTGCCACTCGATGCTTTCGCGTCTACAAAACCCTGGAAGCAAGTAAGTGACACACAAAGGTAGTCAAGAAAATAAAGCAGAATTATGGGCGGAAAGTCTTCGCAGGGTAGGATATACTATTGAGTCAGACCGATGAGAAGCCAACACATGGAGCACTAGGCACATCGAATTTACTTTTGCAAGAAATTAATCATCAATGCAAAGGCCCATGCATATTTAAAGCGAAGCGTAACGTGGCCCCTGTAAATCATTCGGTAAAGACCAGTAGTCACCACCTGTTGCTAAGGCGTCGCTGTCATGTCATTCACTTGAGTAATTTCTGGGCTGTAGCACCGTGCCTTCGGTTCGAAGAGCAAACGTAAGCTTCCACCACGTCTCCTGCAGATTGATTATATTGCACACACAAAATAGAAAAGGCTCATCTGAGGGTGCCAAAGCTATGCAACTTTCTAATGCTATCGTAGTATGCTTCCATACAGTTCTCTGGCCTTTACTACGGCCTCACTTTTGTGGTGACTGTTACGTGCAGAAGAGAAATGAGGGGCTTGTTGTAGGAGTTAAATATAGTCCTGAATTCCTTTTGGGGCCATGTACTCAGCCTTTACATAATGGCCTCGGAAATCGCTACCGCTCATCTTTCCAATGTTTTTCTATGGTACACTTTCCAAGCGTATTCACCGTGTTGGCCATCCAAGCAGAATTGAAACTTGCATTCTCATTTAGTAAACTAGAATAAACAATTTGCAAGAATACCACCAGAATATGATGGACCTACTATAGACACTTTATTTTTAGATGAAACAAATACATAAACCATAAGGTGGATTTCAATATTTGAGACCGACTTTGGCTACTATATTTGCAATCAGATCGCAGGTAAACAATTGAATATGCCGCAGAGAAGGAATTAAATAAGACGTCCGAGGACTGTGACAAAGTCGGTGGAGGCAGCGGTAACTGGATAAAATCCGTATCGGCGGTAGAGTTCAGCTCGTGTTTCGTTTATCGCATCCAACTCAACGTGAACTCCCTAGGTAAATAGATAAGGAATGAGAGCAACAATTCTATTCAACCAAACTACAAAGCAAGGCTAAATAAAAACTGCACAAGTTCATTCAATTCAAGATGGATTGGCTGATTCTTAGAGCTTACATGCGAAGCACAGGTTTTGAGCCCAGCCAGAAGACAGACAAAGAGACGTCTTGAGACTTCGTCAAGCACCAACTCTGGCGGATCGAAGCCTACTCCAAGTTGGTGATTTATCATGGTTAAGGGGTTCATGGAAGGCCCAGCAACTCCACCAAGGGAACAGGTGAAATTACAATCGTCCAACTCCACGAAGATGCTCGCTGGGTGCGCTATCATCGCTGAGTGGATGGCCTCCACTGTCCGAGCACCCGACTTGACCTACAGAAAGGTAAGGAATCAGCATCAACATAAACTCGTGAAGAGAAGTAAAAAAATAAACCGAAGACAAAAAAACCAACCTCCTCCTCATCATCCATTTTCTTTGGACCCTGATCCACTTTTGTGGTAGTAGTAGCAGCATTTTCATCCTCTTCTCTTGCCCGTATTCTTTGTTGCTCCTCGCTGTTACTCTCCGCGTATTCCGCTTCCACTACGTCCGCAACCACCTGGCCCTGTTCAGCAATAACTGTTTTTGTGGTGAGTTTTTCTTCCTGCTCATACACCTCCACCGCCATTGGTTGTTGTTGATGTCGCTCCTGCTGTTGTTGCTCGGAGATAGCGGCACCCAACGGCTCAGGGGGTGGTGCCTCAGTGACAGCTACTTCTGCAATTATGCTTGAAGAAGCTGCAGTTATGCGCTCATCGTGGACCCAGTCCAAAGATATCTGGATCGATGTAGATAAATATGAGAGTGGGAAACAAAAGACAACTAAACCAGACAGCACCCAAGGCTCGGTTTTCACACCACCTCTCCCTCCAAATCAATAGGATCAAAGATATCAAAATGTAACTTGAGTATTAAAATCAACCAATCTATCCAAGGCAAAAGTAACCCTATTTAACATATAAAAATGCTTTGAAATTTCGCGACTTTCGGATATAACCAACATTATATCAATAACAAAGTCGAATGTAAAACATCAAGTCTTGTAAAAGCAAGAAGGTAATCATGGATATGCAAATGGGAGAGGCTATTATTTCGCAAAAAAAACCCTAAATTACTTAAAGTAAACAAGAGAATACGAACTTAATTCAATTCTAAACAGAGCGCATCGTTAATGGTGAATGGCCTAATTGTTGTGTTGCAGGGTATTGTTGAACACCAACAGCAATCGGATATCGAGAAGATGAAACAGGGGTAACAAAAGCATAAGTTATGGACAAATAAGTTCAGTATCGTACAACCTAAGGTAAATATGCAGTTCCTGTTAACCCTACTTTTCAAGGATTCCAATAACTCAGAGCACCTCGGAACGCGTATCATGTAAAATCGGATATAAAGCATATCAAATCGGAATGATAGTCACTAAGGCATGAATTGGTAGCATTCTTTCCGAGTAAGTACAAGAATTTGTAAAATAGTGGAAGTAGGCTTACACGAATGAAATCCTCAACAGACAGATGAGGCACATCGTTGTTTATGGAGGGCTTGCGAGGTATAGATGGGTGATTTTCACCACCACACAGAACTGCATCCTTAGGATACTTAGTCCGCAGCTGACCGCGACGCAGATCGTCCCGCGCACGGGTCAGCTCGCCGATGTCGGGGGCTGCACAGGCGAACGCAACAATGTCCCACGATGGGGCGGCAGTAGAAGACAAGCTGCGGCCAACACCACAAGGAACTGACGACGTCTCTAAAGCAACGTCGAAGAAGAGTGGAGGACCCTCCACCACCAGACAGTGCTGTGGAAAACGCTCTAAGTAGGCGGCGAAGTACCTTTAAAAGTTAAGTAAATCAGTTAGTCAAACTTAAATGGCAGTCCAGACACACTTAAAGTAGCAGAAAGTGGATTTATTTCCTATCGCACCTCTCTACTGGTTTTCATAGATCACCGTTGAATTGGCAATTAGAAAGCTTTGATGTTGGGAAATTTTCGACTACTAACGAGTCTCCCTAAAACAACATGTTTTACTCTGCCATAAGTGAAAAGCTGAGACGACATGGCATCCAAGGCAAAAAAGTCGTTCACAATCAGATATGGTTTCTTAAACACATCACTGCCGTCAACCTCTTCCGGCATAGATGTCTGGGCCAGTCGAGGGCAAACACATTAGTTATCGCAAACCTTAATAGGACTTTTGTCAACTGATACTGCAACTAATGCTACTATGGCAGCACTTTTTTCCACAGAATTAAAATAGGAGTAAATATGCTTAAACGCAACTATCATGAGCTGCGTACAGAGAAGTAATAGAGGTTCTTTTCACATGAATATTGGGAACTAATGTCTCCATTTCTCAAGTACACCACTAAATCGCCTCTTTAGCCCATACTTGAAGGCTTAACGATGAAATATGAATTAATCTGCTCCTAAAAACCACTCTACAGAACCGTAGTCATAGGAACAGAAATATGCATCGAAGGTCCGTGAAATTGACCCAGTATGTTAATTCACAAAGCGGTTTATTTCATCCAAATTTTCTTTGCAGGCATGGCTACTAAATACACTTGATTTTAAAGTTTTCAACCTAGGGCTTGAAGATTAGATTCTTGGAATGAATAAAGTGCACGTCGGCCCTGTGGCTTCTGCAAACAAAACTCGACGAAAATAATTACCATATCGTACAATGTTTGCGATTTATACCTATGATCGAACGCTCTCAACTTCAGTAATGAGCAATTAGGCATAAAACGAATTACAAACAGGACGGAAAATTAATCAAAATATAGACCGAATGCAGGATGGAAATAGACCCCTTAGTCATTCGGATTTTAGACTGGTACCAAAGGGACTGATGTATAACTGAACCAGGAAGAGGGCACCGCAAGACCTACCGATCACCCGGAATATCTTTATATTTATCTGGAAAGGCATCTTTCGGGAGACCAAGTCTGTGCAGGAGTATACGTCGCCAAAGGTCGTAGATTTTTTGTTTATCCTCGAGTTTGTAAGGACGTAGGAAGTAGGGTCGGCGTGGCTGGAAGCCCACTTTTGCAGTGTTCCAGCTGTCTGGCGCAAGGAGAGAAGGGACTTGTTCACAGGATGAAAGTTCATCGGCGGTCAGCGAAGCAGCAGGCGTTGTGGTCATCGTGGGGCCTACTCGACTGGGCGCAGGGAATAGGTCCTGTGCTGATTCGAGAGGAAGAATCCGCTAAAAGAGGCGAACAAGGCACCTATAAATAATGCTCGGTTGTGCTTGCTGAGAGGAAGGTGATATTTGCGCTATTTATTCGAAGTGAAAAAATCCTCTAACACTCAAAAAACCTAAAGCGATTCAAAGTCTATTTATTGAAAACAATATTTAACATCTTGACTGACTAAGTGAATGTATTTCCTTGTCAATTATGTTGTAATCTGACAACCTAGAGTTGTGAACTTTACATAATGCATTCAATAGCTAGAGAAAAACCGTCGACGATAAATGGGCGTAAAAACTTGCTTGGATTACTTATCTAAAGAGAGGATCTGACTGTAAAGTGTTGCGTGGGTTTTCAGGCAAGGGCAGTTCAATGAGAAGGAAAGCAGTTTGAAACTGGTGAATAGACAACTTCCAACAGCTTTAAAATGTTAAGAGGCGAACAACCGGAAACCGGCCTTGAAATATCGCCAAATGACTTACAATAAAAATTCCCAGCTTCTCCCATAATTCACGGATATCTGACCTACCTTAGGTCAGTAAAATTTTGGCATCAACATAACACCTACATTGATTGAATGGCTTCAACTCTAAACCTACCCACTATTCAGGCGTTGCAGTTCATTGCGAGGACAAATTTTCAGTTATTTGGCCGTTGCTACGGCTGACGCGAAGCATGGATGGTGTTGACAACGCCCACGAATTGGGTAAATGACATCAGAGTGATATGGAGGATTACATCAAAATCTAGATTTGATTTGGTGAGTCATCCATGAAAGAACGATGTCAATGTGATAAAGTAGATTTTGGAAACAAAACTAGTTCAGGGTTGAAAGGAATGCAAAAAGAAAGGTAATGGTGCGAGATGGAAAGCAGAGACACTAACCTGGAGTTCAGCAATAATGCCACCTCGAAACATCCAAGGTTCATGATCTCCCGACATTGTCATTTCACTGTAGCCTGGAGAAAACCCTAAAGGAAGTGATGAAAACTCTTCATCATTAAAAGCAACAAAAGAAGAGCAATTCACATATGACGAAGAACTAACAGGTAAGAAGACGTTTCAAATGAGCCTGACTCCGGTTTGCCATAACGCCGTTTTCTGAATCAAAAGACAAGCACAAACGTTCCTTTTATAGCCAAAAAGAGACGTTTACTAAACATAAAGCGGACAGGATGAGGGCTTATTAAACTTATCCATTAACTGATGCATAAAGTGATTTAAGAGTCTATCATACAACTACAAACATGGTAATAAATATGTCCTTTAAAAAGCAACATAAAAAACCTGCCACGAATGAAAAGCCCACAAACGTCACGAACTTTCTGTACAGTTAGCTGAGGAAAGTATGGACGTACCAAGCCATCGGAAATAGTCAAGTAGCATAACAAAGGCAGAAGTAATGCCAGTGAGGTAGGGTGCGAGATCATATACAACACCGGGATGGGGAAGCCGTTGGATCTTCTCCCTCAGTTGACTCACATTAGTGAGTATTTTAATGAACTCGGCAAACTTTTTACACCATTTATTGTGCTGAAACCCACAGAAGTAGAAACCACTACGTATCCTACTTACATACTAATGAGTAGATAGTTCAATCGTTTAAGCCTACCTCCACATCACTTTTGGTTGTGGGGGCAAGATGAGAGTTCTCACGAAGCCAATAGCCCAATTCAAGCGCTTTCAGAGCAGTCGGCCCGTAGGAAAAAGGGAGGTAGAATAGGTCGGAGAGTAGCTCGAGATCCTCCAAACTGATTCCAATTGATCCAACCACGTCGGTAGACTCTGTTGAGCAAAGGGTAGTGAGGGATCGAATTCAGAACCACCTACCTGAACCCATGTTCACGTCAGCCCCGATTCCAGCACTAGCGCTTTCAGTAGCTTCTACCTAAAGGAAAAAAGACACTCGACTAGAGTCAGGGCAAACCACGACCACAACTTGCTCCAATACCACATTCAATATGACCTCACCTGCATGGGGATCTCTTGGGGGTCCGTGAAGTCCGTTTCCATTGGTGTTGGAGTCGCTGGATGCGAAATGTTTCGCTTTGCCAGTGCCGAGTTTGACCTCTGGTCCTGTGAACGGTGAGTCAAAAAAACTGCTGACGGTGAGGTTTACATAAACAGAAGTGTCAGATAAGGGCCAACTTCTTAAAAGCAAAAAAAGTGGTGTGATGATAATACTCATCCATTGAAGTGAGGTAAGCCAGACCGAATCACTGTGCGAGTTCATCAAAGCGAGACAGTTTGGAAAAAGAGGAGTCAAGCGATGCGTATAAAATTAGTCCACTTCATTCGGTTAAGTTTGGGTTGAGGTATAGATAACATGAGCATGAACAAAACCTATAAAACAAGTACACAAATAATAACAACTGACCTGAAGCATGAGGGCCAACCAATCTCTTAGAGCGTTATGAAGGGCTTCACGTGGTCGATAGACTGGTGAGGACTGTAAACTGGCCTCCTGCCCCCCTTCTTCCTCACTTTCCACGTCGTCACCAGCATCGACGGATTCTGACACAGCCATCTGGTCCGCGTGGGAGGGGTGCCCAATACTGTGTGGTGAAAGGTTTCTGCTTAATATTACATTTATTAACCGATCCATTTAGTCTCAAGAACATAGAGTTATGTCTATGCCCACAGACGACCATGCTTAGGTAGCTCCTAGACGGTAGATCCCATTGATCTAACAAGAATAGCTAAAGATGCCACAACGGTGGGAGGAGTTAGAAAGTCCGACTCAAAAGATTAATCCATTGTGGGCGGTTGAATACATAGATGTTACAGAAGGAGTAAAGCAGTGGAACATTTTAGCAGCCGATCGTCTCGCTCGTGAGTAACAAGCTTTATTCCATATTGTTGTGCTTTATTGCAGCGCTAAAGCGGTCGACAATGTCAACATTGTGAAATCCGACTGAATGTGCTCATCCATCGAGCAAAAAACTGAGAAAAAATAATTACTGTCGGTTTTAGTGAACCTCCCGGAGCCTACTGAATGTAATAAACCCAAAAAATAGGGTACAAACCTGACAAGAAAATTGAAGTGTGACACTGAATGAGACCGGGTAAGCAGAGACTCACGGTTTTAGTAACTCATTAATACTTAGTGACTTTTCCAAAACATGATCACTGTTATGCTAACATGGGTAAAAGCACAAATGAGACTATTGAAGATAACGTGAGATGTAGTGTAGGTATTGGTGCTCGCAAAACCAGACATAGCAAATAGCACTGACAGCTGCATTCGGGTAGATAATCTTGAATCGAACATAAAATAAACCCAGAGTAAGTCAAAGGATTCCACAGGAGGACCCATGATATCTGTTAATCGACCCAGCTTGCTGTGCCCCTTCCCAGATATTCTGGTCCTTATTGCACTCATTACGGTAGAATATCAAGCCTTGGGAAGGGTAAAACCTCGACTGCCAAAGTGATGAGAGCGCACCGAGTCCACTGAGCAAGAGTGTGAATAGCAACGTAATTGGCCTCGAACTCGCAATTGGGGTTGGTGAGAATGCCGTGGAGCAGGCGGCGGCGACGCAAAGCCAGGGGTCGACCCGAGTAGGGACCGAGGAAGATGCGACGCTGATCATAATCGTTGGCATGAAGATTGTCCCATAGCACAATTGGTCGCTTCAGCAGACGCAAGAGATCGCGGATGCCCAGTGTGGGAATGCGCTTACTGACGACCTGGGGCCCTGTCCACATCACTTTTATTCCTTGAGGTGACGCAAAAAAGGGTGTAACGTTTGCTACTTGTATTGTAAATGACCCACACCATAAAACGGGTCTCGAGCCACATCAAAATTGTAAAAATCATTAGTGGTGACGCTCTGGCTTGCACCGCATCCCGTTACAAGATGAGGCCTAATGTCGTTTCCACTTTTAACGAGCAAATCTTGTTGTAGCTCAGTGGGAATACTAAGAGCGATTTATTTTTTGCAAATATCTAACAGCGACCCCACTTTCATTAAGATTTTTTTCAATTAAACATAAGCCCTTCAACGTCCACCTCGCTTTTTCCCATAGGGATATTTTCAAATAGAGGGCTCCGATAGTCCTTTAACCACCTGATATGGTAACTTTAAAACGAAATTAACTCAGATCACAGGAGTATCTTGTATGCAACATAAAATACTCAGAATTCATGATAGGTTGTAAGCGAACAATTGCAGTTAAAATAGTGGTTAGTAGAGAATGGGCAAGAAAAACCGACCATATTGGGATACTTAAAGAACTTGAAGATCTGAACGATTTCCGCGTATACTGGAAAAATCCACATTCGGATAATCCAGAACTACAATAGTCCCGGAGAAATGATAAATTGTTGAGAACCTTTTGTTTGCGAAACGCTATAAACAAATTTGTCGGTTGAAGGTGCAGAAATTCGTCACAACTCCCTCACGTATTACCTCCTTGATTATTTAGCTGCCGGAAACCGTGGAAGAGCAGTGCTTACAACAACGCTGAGAAGGAAAAGGGCGCTTGATAAGATACAGGAACCACGCGAAAAATGGAGAATCATGAGTGTAACAAATACTAGTGAACGAAGGTGATGCACCCGAAAAATTAAGTGCCAAGGTTCAATAATTAAATAAAGCAGTCCATAAGTACAAGAAGCACCAGAGAAAGTCTTTTGATGATGCTTTCTACTCATGCGTCTTTTGAGTCGTTTAAGATACAAACAGCAGTAACTCAAAGCGGGAAAAGGCAGAACATTAACAGAGTATAGGACGCATTCGATTCTTAGTACAGAAGCTATTCAACAGAAATCCAAATGGAAATATTTGATCGTGCGAGAAGGCACAAGTATATAAATTTGCACAGGCACGTCCACCTATCGTACGCTATGAGCACACGGGCATCAGGATTGTGAATACCTTCAAAGCGAGCTCATGAATAGCTTGGTGTACACTCGATGCTCGCCCCCACCGATGCAAACTCACGAAAATGTGTGTAGAACTTAAAAGCTGTCCTCTGAAATACATTTGCTTTTCTAAGAGATGGTTTTTACTAACAAAGCATAGGGTTGATCTTCTTTCCACAGCATAATCCGCTTCATACGTGACAGTGTTCATCAACTTAGTTTTTTTCGGGTGTGCAAAAAGGAGAGTTCCAGTTCAAAAGTAACCCACGAACATCCGTTCGGGTGCAAGCAAACCCAAAGTATTCTACACATATGGAATTATTTGAAGCGAATATTTCGGACGGGTTCTTCATTCCTAATAATTGCGGCGAATGCTCACTCTAAACATGTTATTACTGACGAAAACTTATCACAGAAGCGTCATCATGAAAAAAATGTGTAGGTAACTCTGACTGACTCCCTCAGTACCACCTAGGAAGTATTGAATCAACATGGAAAGGAAAAGAAGGACACCTTCAGTGAGATCGCTTCCAAGAGTGGCAAGATAGGTGGAGTGGTTGACGTTGGGAACGGCTCGGCTGGCGCAATATTCAGTGGGACAGAAGAGGAAGACATCCGGATGGTTGAGAGCCTCGTAGACCTTGTTAGTAAGTGCCACTTGGGCGCGCCCGGGCGAGTCAAAGACCTCCTGGTCTGCCGAACATAGACGCGTGTCGATGTCGTCAAAGAGGAGAGCGAATGCGTGGCAGCCCAGGTTCAGAGCCTAATTCCCATAAAACCGAGACTTTCCTTCATTGGGGTGATTATGGAACGCTGTACCACGCAATTAAAGAGAGTTGACTGTGAGAATCCGTGCCATAAGCTCATCTTGGAATTAAGAATTCTAAGAACAAGGAGACTTTAATGATTGCACGACCCAAGATGAAGGTACTCCATTTTTACCCATAATTTACCATTAGATGCCTTATCTAATTTCTACAAGGACCATGACATGCTTATAGCAACAACCTGTCATGGGAAATAATAATGCGGCAAATTGGGACAATCAAAACAGTTCTGGAGTACAGTGACGAAGCAAAGAAGAAACACAATGCATTATTTTACAGCAGAAGAGTTTTGCGTCAAGAAATAGCCTTCATGAATAAGACTATTGAAAAAGCAATGAGGTGTACGAACCTTAAAAGGGTAAAAAGACACGCAAACAACAGACCTGTTCAAGTCGCGCTTTTAAAGCAGCAACGTCTTCTTCGTCGGAGTAGACAACATCACCGCCGGGAGAGATCGCAAAAATAAAGCAGATGTTATGGTCATTAGCAGCAGCAATAAGAGACCGCATATTTTCCGCTTCCTTTTCTGTGTAGAGCTCACGCCATGAAATCCGGTGCTTTATGTCATCCTTAGGGGCGTAGAGGTAAGCATTCATCCCCATTGACTGCATGCTGGAAGACAAACAAATCAACGACATTCAGCACGTGTTCAGAACAAATGGGAACTCTTGGATCTAATCTCCATAGCACAATCTTGCAAGATACAACTCCAAATCTACTGAGGGCACTTACAATCTGATAAAAGAAACCAACAACAAGAGTCAATGTTTTCGCATCAAATGCCTGAAAAAAATACATGCCGACGACTCGAGGCTCCCGTCCTGAAAGGTTGGTACAAGTGAAAGAAATAACATAGCAGCCAGTTGGAGTTAGATTCACAAGCTTAATTATGTAAGCAGAAAACTACATAAAATAAGGAAACAAAAACACCTTAGACAGCATAGCATCCACTGGAAATGAGGCACACTACAAAGCCTCTTAAATAGAACAACTCACCGTCTAAAGAGTTCACGACGCTGAGGATATGTCCATGGACGACCATAGAACCCTACAATAAGCATGGAATATAGACATTTAATAAAACCGTTCTGCGAAAGGACTCAAGAGGATATTATATGAGCCTTCCATGATCTCGAAAAGTGCATTTTCAAAGGTATGACTTGGTAAATGACCACAGCTAATAGCTAGAAATACTTCCACCAGCCTTAATATGGTATAACAGAGAAATTCAACTTCACAAAGATTAACAAAATACCCTCTACGACTCCACATAAAAACTCGGATGGTTCGGGTCTTTGAGGATCATCAGAGAAAAAGAACTCAGACATTATCCAATCACATTGACATATGTACAACTCCCGCCAGACGCAGGACGCTGACCATAAGTTGATTGGGTCGAATTCGCAGCCTCAATGCTTTCGATAATTCCACTGCATAAAAGGAGAAATAAAAGTGGAATTGATACGAAAAAAGTAAATATCATGGTGCCTCAAAAGCAACGATAGACACAATACCTTGTTCAAAGGCAGACTTGTAGTTTTCGAAAATAACTGTAAATAAGTCCGCAAAAATATTAGTAAAAGTAACAGAAAGTGCAAGGCCAAATTGCAATGCAGTTACAGGGAGGCATAAGAGATGCGATGTATTTCCGTGCCAACTTTAGCATTATAGCAAACACTAAGTCGCCAAATGTAATACCGCGCTCGTTTGCCTACCAGCATAACCATTTAACTCGCTCCTGTGTGTGTGAGTTGGCTCTTGGGCTAAGTCAAAGTCTAGGATCCTTCCATTTCACCTTGATAACCTGTAACCAGCCCCACTTAGCGCCAACTACCGCCTGGTGGAAACATCGGAATTCCACGCTGTAACATATACTAGTTTGTATAAGTGTACTTGGCGGAAACTAATTGGAAACGGGAATCACGTGCGTGAAGCCGGCGAGAAGTCTCCCTCCAACTGATATCTCCTACTCGCCTCATTTGCACCCCATTCCCCATCCTTCCTAATAACAATGCCTACCAAATCGCCTTCAAACAACTGTCTCTTGAAGTTTGAGGATCAGGGACCAGAGAGTAGACAGGCAGCTCTTACACATGCAAACATTTTTCGTAACATCCTTTTAATTGGTCAAACGACATTCCGAATTGCAAGTTCCAGCCATGTCACCCCGTGACTTCACATTTGGTAATTTATTTAATAATACATGGGTGAACATTTGCACTTAGAGGGTAGGAAGACCACTCTATCCGGGAGAAGCACGATGACCGCCAATCATCCAGCCATTCGAACAAACGGGGATGGTATTGTTTTCTTTTAGTGCCTTAAGACTTCCCACTGGCTATAAGGCATTAATTTGGGCCGAATATATGCACTTTTGAAGGAAAATTGGGGTTTTACTTGTCCTAAAGGCAATTCAACGCGTAGAGTTAATCACATTAATAGAGCACTACTCTACCCTCTTTTATTCGACTAGCGACCTCAAGGCTCCCCTAGATACACCTCCCGCGTAAGCCATAACAACGTATCTGGCACAACAAGGGAACAATGTACAAGCTAGCCGCGTAGGCCATCGGCTACCATGAGACTGAGAGATTACACTTAACCTTATCAGCAACTTCAATTGGATCTAGGGCTACCTTCGGTCTGAGAGTATGAATGGTAGAGAGGAATTTCTGCTGACCATCAGTCGTTTCCAGGACTAGATGCTGGTACACTCGTCTAAAACGGGCGTTCAACGAGAAAGACGGATCAAACACAGTTTCGTAAATGTAGAAATTCGGAGCAGTACAGTGAAGAGATTTCAAATATGGATGACAGGGTGGTTTAGCTTCAGTGATTATTGGCCTGCATGTGAAAGACGGAAATGAGGTAGAGCCAAACACAGGCGTCATTCTTAGTCTTTCTGTTGAGAAGAAGTTTGGAAATGTACAAGCCTAAGCATATGTGCCGTACTCGCACCACAAGAACATGTCACAAATGCCAAACGTCAGGGCAGAAGGCGTTACACATTCAGGGTATTTATTCACTGTCATTATCAGGGCGCTTTAAGACTTCTTACCAAGTAGAAGGCAGTAAGTGGGTACAAACGCTTGGTTCCCGAAGGAGAAGGATGGGTTAGACCTTGGCTTAGCCCAAGGGTCAGACAAAGCGTACATCTTGCCTCAGCCACTGCAAAAATAGCCTGTAGTGTTAAATAAATATGAACAAATTGCTGCACCATTCTTCATATTTTATGACTGAGATAAAAAATATGGCCTCCTCAGCTGTTTTAGCTGGATTTGGAACTGTGTTGTTTCTGTTGACTATCATGTGTGTACCAGGGCAAATGTTAGAATACTAAATCCAAACAGGCGCACAAGAGAGTACACCGAATCGAACACAACCCCTTGTGATAGTGGGTTTACTGTACTGTTATCTCCGACATCCATGCGCATAAACGAAACTATGTTAAGTGATTCAGTGCGGTTTCGCTCCAATTGTTATTAACCTACAAGTGATACACGAGTAATGGGGTGAATGCCGAGGGCAGACGTTATTCTTAGCCTTTTTGCAATGTATAAAGTGGAGGTTCTAACTCAGAAGAACATGCTCTCATTTGCAACGCAGGTCAGTTGTTATGTTTAAAATTACATTTATTTATAGTAAATGGAGCTTCTAAACATTCAAATGGCAACCTAAATTATGGCCAGACCTACATCCATACGGCCAGCAAAAAGATTTCCATCCACAAAGACAGCTATGTAAACAATGTATTCCATTAGCAGTCAAATACAAATTAAAATATTACACATGCTGTGCTACTGTTGCTAAATCTATTTGTTCTACTCATGCAATGTGCCTCTTTCTTAGCTGTCATAAAATGGGAAGGTTAATTGTATGGGTGCTGTTTTCCGAGAGCGCTTTTAAGTGACAGAACGCATGCTGCTTTGCCAAGACACGACAAAAAAGGAAGAGGGATGTGCTTTGCAATGTTAAGAAAATGAACAATCAAACCTGAGAAAATTCCCTACTAAAGCCTTCCTTAACATTTGCAGTCGAAAAATACAGTACTAAAGTGATTGCTGTCACCGACTGATTTAGGCGTATTTCACTTTAAATTTTTTATTAAAATGGTTTATAATAAGTGTTTTAACAAAAATATTACAAATTTGTTGCGAGATCAAACAAGTCAATATTGTAGGAACTGTTTTACTGGGTGCTTGACTTCTAGCGACTGCTCAGTTTTAGCTTCACTAGTCATGAGTCGGAGGTCGAGGACGCCCGTTCGGTAGGTGAATTCACTCTTGTTTACCCTCTAGAAGTCGTGGAAGGGGTTCACCCGGACAGCGTTTGCGCAGTGTCGACTGGAAGCGGGAAAAACTCGTCAAATTCGAGAAGGATTTTTATAAGGAGTCATCAGCTGTTAAGGGTCGGAGCTCCAGAGAGATAGAGAAATTTCTCAAGGAGGCTAGAATTACGGTTGATGGAAAAGACGTCCCAAGGCCCGTCTTCTCTTTTTCCGAGGCGGGTTTTCCTGAAAGCGTCATTGAAGTAATTGAGGAGAATAAGTGGAAGGCTCCAACTCCGATTCAGTCGCAAGGATGGCCCTTGGCTCTCAGCGGGAGGAATGTCGTAGGAATAGCTCAGACAGGTTCCGGAAAAACAGCCGCTTTTCTTTTACCTGCAATCGTCCACATTAAAGCTCAGCCAGCAATGAAGCGTCACGACGGTCCCATTGCCCTTATCCTGGTGACCACTCGTGAATTGGCGCAGCAAGTTGAGTCAGTCGCCCGCGACTTTTGCTCGAACTGTAGATTACGTGTAGCTTGTCTTTATGGTGGTGCCCCCAAAAAGCCCCAACAGCGAGATCTTGAACGTTATCCTGAGGTTGTCATCGCCACCCCAGGAAGGCTGCTTGATTTTTTGGAGACTGGTGACACCAACTTGCGCCGTACTACCTACTTGGTTGTTGACGAAGCTGACAGGATGTTAGATATGGGTTTTGAGCCATCACTGCGTAGAATTGTCTCTCAAGTTCGTCCAGATCGTCAAACGCTCATGTGGTCTGCGACCTGGCCGAAGGAAGTGAGGTCGCTTGCCAGGGAATTTCTTGGAAAATACATCCAAATAAATATTGGCTCCGAGGACCTGCACGCTAACCACAACATTAAGCAAAATGTGGAGGTCATTAGGGAGTCAGAGAAGTATGGTCGCTTGGTGGAGCTTCTGAAGGATTTCGGCAGGTCAAAAGCAATTGTCTTCGTGGAGACCAGAAGGCGGGCAGATGAGTTGATGTATCGTTTGCGTGATCGAGGTTTCAACGTTGCTGCCATGCACGGAAATAAACAGCAGAGAGAGAGAGAGGCGATACTAGGAGGTACGACGAGTATTCTATCGCAGTAGTTTCTTTAGACTTTCGTAATAGTCGAATTACAACCCTGGTGGCCACGGATATAGCCGCAAGAGGACTTGGTGAGTTGACCATTTCCCGATGATCACGTTAATCACCGCTGACCATTGTTATTGTTTGTTACAAATGCATATTTTCTGAAATGCTTGACAGGCTATCTTGACTGGCATACGGGGCTATGTGGACGTTGGCCTCTCGCCAAGGCCGCAGATGCCCCGTTGCGTGTGCGGTGTACCTGAGACATCACACTAGTCCACACGACGCGAGCACAATTTAACACCAAACAGGGAAGTAAGCAGACTCCCTCTGCTCGAGATCTCATTTCCCCCGCGCCTTTGATCGAAGGGGATGGTGCAGGGGTTGTCTATTCTGCTCCCTGCACCTCGAATTGGGTGTTGTTTTTCCTTTTTCGAGGCCTTCCGTTAAGCCTCGATCGGGTCTCCTGCACTGCGGATTAAGCCGCCACCTCGGCGGCTTTCCTGCATACTGGCACGTCGTTGGGAAATATTAAGTGCATTTCCGGTGGTTCTTACCACGCGCCCATCACCCCTGTTGGTAAATCTCGGGCACTTCTCTATCAGCCTTTCGCAAACCACTCCATTTTTGTATTGCTGTCGGATCACAAATCATCTGGCTCCCGTGTTTTCAGATATAACGGACATTCGGTACATCGTGAACTACGACTACCCTACTCACGCAGAGGACTATGTCCACAGGATTGGGAGAACTGGAAGAAGCGATAAGAAAGGGACAGCTTATACTTTCTTCAACAACGACAATCCCAAAACGGTATTTTTTTAGTTTACTTTATTGGCTAGTATTGATTTTATCTAACCGATAAATTTATCAAATTTGGTAGGCACGACAACTGGTGAAAGTGTTGAAGGAAGCAAAACAGAAGATCCCATCTGAACTGGAAGATTTATCCAGGTCCATCGGAGGATTCGGTCAAAGTGGTCGTAAGCGTTCAGTTCGTAGGTGGAGGAGGACCTCATCCTCCCTTTCTCGATCATCCTCAAGGATTCGAGGTCATCGACGTTCACGTAGTCGTTCTGAGAGGCGTCGTGACAGAAGTGTCAGAGATTCCCACAAGAGGTCTAGATCAGTCAGTTCTGGAGATCGGAAAAAGAAGCATCGCAAGTATCGTCGGCATAGCAGTTCAAGATCTCAGAGTCGTTCATCTTCAAGTCGATCATTGAAACGGCACGCAAAGCGGTCACGCAAGAGTAGATCTGAATCACGTCGCTCACCTGTTGTGGACCGCAAGCGAAGACGAGTGATTTCGGATGGTAGTCATCATCGGTCCCGGTCTCAAACTTCGCACAAACACTCTAAGCACCGTTCACGATCATCTGCTTCACGCAAACATTCGCGAGGCCGATCTCGTACACCAAAAGCTCGGCGTCATCGAAGGTCTGGTTCGCGTAGCGGCTCATCGGTGCGTTTGCGTATGGCAAGTGGTCCTAAGGATCGACTAAGGAGACCCAGTCCGTCAGTGGATCGATCACGCTCAAGGAGTAAGAAGAAACGTGCCCCCAGATCTTCCAGTCGATCTGCGAGTCGTTCTTCTAAATCATGTGCGAATCATGATAAGCTCATGTCTCGTGATGAGGTAGCACACGTGACAGATCGTGCTCCCTCCGAGAGCAGCAACGACATTCGTCCAAAATCGCGGAGTCGTCACAGGAGTTCTAGATCAGGATCTGCTGTATCAAGAGGAGGAGACGATGCCTCTCCTAGGAGCGATCAACGCTCCAGATCATTAAGTGTACGGTCAGCCTCGTCTGCGAGTCGTACTGCTGGCACGCGTTCTCCTTCAGTTAGCTTGGAGGAGGAGTCTAAATTTAAAAATAGGCTTCACACGGAGGAAGATGAGTTTAAAGTTAATGGTGAAGCCTAGTTAATCCTGCACTTCGTTTGCTCGCTACGATGCTTTTCTGGTGTTTTATCATTGTGCTTGTTTTGTATAAAGCTTTTTGTCTAAAGTTTATTTTGTTGCCTACATCTCGTCGTTTCGCCTGTACATTTGGCAAATTGTGTGTTACTGATCCTTTGCCTGTCATATAGAGCTCAAGTTTGATGGTTGCAAAAACGTGACTTCAATCCCAGTTAGACACTTAGCTCATGCGTTCCACTCGCACTTGTTCGTTATGCATATCGCGCATCGCTGTTGTTTATCTGTTTGCACTGCCATCAGGATGCGCTTAGTTACATCCTCGTTTATTTATCAAAGATGTATATTGGTGGTCGTGTGTAGTCGTTGCTTACGCAGTATGTTTTCTGAACTTTAATGTGTCAATTGGCTAAGGTTTGTGCTGTTGTGGAATTTGTGTTTGCCAAATTCACATTTAAGGGTTGAAATGAATTGGATGCGACGGTACGGACTACTCTTTCATGAATAGGGACATTCATCTAAGCCTCTTGGTGCCCAAAATAGTGCCATCTTTTGGAACACTGAGCTTTGCTTTTTGTCGGTTGGTGCCTGCGCTTTAGAACATACAAGGGAGTTCTTATTTGGCTCTCGTGATGCGTGTATGGAACTGGACGGATGTGGTTTGCGGTATGTAGCGGAGTTGTTTGGTTTAATTGGTGTTCATACTACCATAAAGTATTGAGCTGCGATCACGGTGGGGTTCTGCGCTTCCCTTGTTGGTGTTGGCCTAATCATGTGTAGTTCGGACTCCGTTGTGGTGTCTTGCCGCAGTAATCGAGGTCAACCTGGCAGATGTGGCCTCGTTAAGGTAGCTCGAGTAACAATTACTGTGGTATAATGAAGCATTGCTAATAGTTAAATAAGCCATGGTATTGGGGTAACTTTCGCATTATTGACGTATGTAGTGGCAGTGGCACGCACGGTTCGGGGATCACTTCATTTTGGGCCTACAACACTGGGGTGCAATGACGTCGAGCGGATGACAGGAGAGCAATATTTGTATTAGAGAGAAGCATACAGTTGGGGTCTCAAGGCAATCGCAAGAGTTAGGAGTAGATATGCTTTCAGGTTAGAGATCGACATTTGTCGAGCGTTCTCTTTGTCTGAGTCTTTGAAACTGATTTTTTGCTTTGTTATGCTTTACTATTAAATAATAAGTAGGCGTTCAGAAGTACAGTGAAGAACGAGTACATTAGTGAGTGCATTAAAGTAGAAACAGCAGAAGGGAAAGAAGAACATTGTTTTCCTAAGCACATCAAATGCAGCAAGGATCAAGTTGCAGCGCTTGTAAGTGGGTGCATAAAACTAGGATAATAAAATTTTAAATGCGATAGTGGTGGAGCATCATAGTAGTACTGTTTATTTATAGCCAAAATGGCGCAAAACATGCAAAGACAACAAGTTGTGGTAGCAATTGGGGTGATTTTTTACCTATAAACTGCAACTCAATTCGTATAGGAGCTTTAGTAGACATTGAATGGTGCAAAGTGGTGGTTTGGAGGTGTGATGCGCGTTTTATTCACATTATTATAATGTGACAAAAGGTTTTACTTGGACAAGTCGAAGGCGAAATGAATAGCGTTTGTAGAGGGCAGGGTGAGTTTGCCGCCTTGTTTCTTCTAAACATAGGTGTAGAGAAATTTTATTTTTCATCTTTTGTTTGTATCTGTGTCGAGTACTAGGAGTTTGGTTACTTTGATCCATTTCATTCGACACTTCAAATAAGTGCTGATTAGTTAGGAGGGGACCATCACCTTGATCGCAGTCTGCGTCCAAGGTATCCAACACCACGAGGCTCGAGTCGTCTAAAAAGCTATTTTAAAGAATCGTAAGCATCACAATATGCTTCCATTGTTGGTAATTAAGATGAATTTGCGTTCTCCAAAATTGGAGTGTAGGTCGAAGCTGTAGACATCCTTGGTCACGAACCTGTATAAATTACCCAAAAAGTTAATCACCATAAATGTGTAAATCCAATGAAGGACATGCATATGAAGAGTACGAGTCCGCATTTCAATATACATACATACAAATCGTAGTATCTTGTTGCAATGGCATGCTTTGCTGCTGACCAAATACAGTCACTGTTGTCATGCTCAGGTTAACAACATCACCTTGTTTGTCCATGGGGTTTCGAGTTTGGTAGGCAAAGCGTGAGATATAAGTGCTAGGGTGGCAGCCTAGGTGGTCTAAGCAACAGCCTCAATAGGCCTTAATTTTATTAAAATTCAACTCCACTGCAGTTTGATAAGGTGCTTTTAATCATGGCAACCCACCAATATAGCACGCTCATTTCACAATGATTAAATAAAATTAATTTCCCCTTGCTGCGAATCAGCTTAAAGCAGCGAATTGCTGCTTTTCCATTGCCTAGTAATGGCCTTCAGTGGAGAATCCTGGTCCTTTTACTATTCCTTTATTAGGTTGTGCAGTGGCGCTGATCGCAAACAAACGGAGGCAGAGCTCTCACTTTCAGACAGACCATAAAGACAATGCAAAAGCGCTTTTAAACGCTGCAAGCATTATAGAGGTGATTGTGGGATGACATTAGGCCTATTCGTCTGGGGTACAAAAAACCAAGCCCTTGCCGCTGGTGCTTCTATGTAGCGTTGCACAAAACATGCACGAAACCTCTCTTTGCTAAGCTGATCACATCATTTCTAACACCAAACCGTGTAAAAAGTCGACCTTAGGCCTGTCCTATTCAAATAAGCAAATTTCATGTGAAAGTGTTGTAAAGACAGCTAAATTCCAGGTCACATTTAGGACTATTCCGAACTTTGAACTATACCAAATTTAATGAGGGCAAAGCACTGCTCCATTTGTTGGCATAACTCTCGATTTCAGTTTGGAGTTCCCAACGGTACTGCAATCAGATGCCCTGGTCTGTGAGGTGTGACCGAGGCTCCTCCGGCCTCCCCGTACGCTGGCACTTCATCTTATATCCCAGTGTCACTACCTACACTCATTAAGTCCATTTCAGAAACGCAAAATCATCACTAGTCAGAGAAAGTTAAATTTCAAAAGTGTAGTTTTTTTACTAAGGCATAGTTGTAGACACAGCAGGTGCTTCAAAAATTACTTAGAAGTGATTATGGAAGCAAGTTACGTAGTAGTTTCGTTTTTTAACATTAGAGTTCGAATTTCAAAATTTATCTTGTCAAATGTTAGACTTCTTTCTGGAATCGTAAGCTTTGTAGGGTTGCTTTAATTATGGTAAAGAGATGTAAGGAAGCGAAAAGCACTTTCAAGCAGAAAAGTACGTGTAGCATTTTAAGGCGTAAGATGTGGAACAGTGGACAAATTTCTTTTAATAATGGGAACATGTTTAAATCTGGTACCCATTATTCTGCTAGAAGAGGCGGCATTCACTGTGACAGCGTTTTGGTCCGATCCACAAGACTGTGTATCCTTTCAAGGGAAGACGTGTTCTATGTTCACGAGTGAATTCACTTATCTTGGAGGGTTGAAGCAAGTGAAAGGCAACGCAGAATTCTTGGAGCGGAGAATCGGCAAAAGCGCGAGGTGTGGAGCGGTTAACGGTACGCGTCACGCAACCACCGAATAAGTAGTTTCTATCCGGTAAACAAGAAACAGTTCTTAAATGTCCAGTGACGTTTTTTCCCCTCTGAGCATAAATGCGGCAAGCTGGAAATATTGCGATTCGATGGTCCCTTTTTGTTGGATGATTCACGAATTGCAAAATCATGGAAGCACAAACGGTCTACCCAACCATGACTAAGCAGTACGAAATCTTCATCCTTTCACTCAAATTTTTGAATAGCACAATCACACGTGTGCTCGTTGTTTCCGTGCCTCCACGACAAGGTGACTACTCCATTCACTCTCACACATAGTGAAATGCTGAGCCGATCATGTGTTCAATGCTTTATTTTTGTGTCAAGGTCACTTGAAGCCTCTGGTTGTACTTCCTGTGGAGAGCATTACGTTTGACCAATGACAGTGATCCTCTGCTCTGATTAACCCCTTAATTTAAAATTCACTAGACATAGTTAATTACAGCGATTCTCTTCATGGTCCATTGAGGTGCATCAGGTCCCAAAAGTGGGATTGGAAGGGAGTTTGCGAAGTGGATTAGCGAATTAAATTTTAGGCAAGTAATTGTGTGATGGTAGTCCTCACTTTTAACCAACCACGCCCTACTAATGGGAACCAACAAAGGTTGCTTATTTCGTATTCTCTTAAAAGCACATAAGCCTCTCAGCCACTATCAAGTGCATATAACAATGAGGTGCTTTATCTCGATGCGAGCAGGATGAATTCAGAGGGCCATTCAAGATCCGCGTTGCATTGCCTTTGGTCGAGGCCAACAGGACCCATCAACGCAAAATTTATTAGGATAGCGAAAGTAAAGCGACACTCCAATGAAAAGAGGCCTCTTTATTGCAGGCATAAAATAGCATTGTGTTTCAAATGTTCAATTATGCAGTAAGCAATCAGAGCTTCATAAAGATACTCTAGACGAGCTTGTCTAATCGTTTGCATGTTGCATAACCGCCATTTAGTTGAGGAGTTGGTGCAAGCTCTTTGTATAGTTTGCGCATTCAATGCAGCTTGGACGTCGTAAATTGACTTGGAAAATTTATAATTAGGACCAATTTGCATGAAAAAGCCCTGCACGGTAGTTCAGCAAGCACCGAAAGGCACAAACTTCTTAACGTGTCCTTTGTTTGTGCATCAATTCTGGAACCTGTTAGATTGGCAGTTTCTGGTTCATTGCGTGAATTCTATACAAGCAAAGTTCCTGAACTCTGGAAAACAGAAAAGTTTGGAAGCAGCTTGTAAAATGTACACCTTTTTCCAAGCTTCTTCAAGAGTGGCGAGAAGTGGAATAGCCCAACCCTCACTCCCTGACAATGATAAATAGTAAGGGTATTTTTGGTCTTCCTAAATGTCGTATGCTTTAAAAAAATCACATTATTTATGCAGAAAGCTTGTTTACATGT